TGGTGATTTTAGTCATTTCATTTTGTATGTGTGTTGTGCTTTACCCTTTGCTACATATGGTGGTTCATCTTAACAGAAACAAATCTTAAATAATTCTGGCATAGTCATAACTGAAACCGTCATTTAAAGTTTTATAGCTGCAGTTTATATGAAACAACTTAGGCCGGGCACTGGTGGCTCACACCTGTAATCCTAGTTACTCAGAGGGCAGAGATCAAGAGGATTGTGGTTCAAAGTCAGCCCAGGCAAATAGTTTGCAAGACCCTATCTTGAAAAAAACCCATCACAAAAAAAAGGGCTGGAGGTGTGGTTCAAGAGGTAGAGCACCTGCCTAGCAGGCATAGGCCCTTAGTTGAGACCCCACCAAAAAAAGAAAAAATTCTTAGAGCAACATAAATATTAAATCTTGAGCATGCTCGGCATGCTCTGCCACTGAGCTACATCCCTAGCCCAACTTTTAAATTACCATCATGGATGTGTTTTTGAATATATATATTCAAAATATATATATATATATTCAAAATATATATATATTGAATATATATATATATATATATATATATTTTGGTGGTGCTGGGCCTCATGCTTACTAGGCAGGCACTCTTACTGCTTGAACAACTCCATCAGCTGTATGTGTTTTTGTATCATATATTAGAAATATACTCAAATTGTAAAGTAATATAAGAAAGTTAAAAGCACTAAAATCACTCAAGAAAAAAAATCTAGCAGTTATAAAAAAGCTGTTGTATTTGAGTAAGTTTAATGTTATATTATCAATATTTGGTAGGTTTACATATAAGGCTCCAGTATCCACAGTGGTGTAATAAATAATAAAATACTATAATCCTCTTACCTCCATCTCCCAAGTAGCTGGGATTTTAGATGTGAGTCACCACACTGGGCCCTTATATTATTTTTTTAAAACATACCTCAGATGTGTTTAAATAATTTTCGTGTTTCAAAGATCCAATATGTCTTTTTTTTTTTTTTTTTGGTGGCACTGAGGTTTGAACTCAGGGCCTCACACTTGTACTTGCGAGGCAGGCACTCTATCACTTGAGCCACTCCACCAGCCCTCAAAAGGGGCTGTGCATCCTATGCCAGTTTTACTGTGGTAGCTTGTGGGAGTCACTCCACTGCAGATGAATAAAGTGACTAGTAGTGGCTTCATAGGGCCCAGCTTTATTTCCTTTTCTGAGGCTTAGAACAAGCCTCAAAACATAGCCTCATCTATGCAAATAGATGAGAGCTGGGTGCTGGTGGCTCACACCTGTAATCCAGCTACTCAGGAGGCAGAGATCAGGAGGATTGCAGTTGGAAGCCAGTCCCAGGCAAACAGTTCACGAGACCCCATCAAAAATATGCAACACAAAAAAGAGCTGATGGAGTGACTCAAGTGGCAGAGAGCGTGCTTAGGAAACATCAAGCCCTGAGTTCAAACGCCAGTAACACCAAAAAAAAAAAAAGAGTATAACCCAGTTTCAGTTGGCCAATCTTGTAAACTGTCTTGTTCTTTTTTTTCAACACTGGGGTTTGAACTCAGGGTCTCCACTCCACCTGCCCTCTTTTGGTGATGGGTTTTTTCAAGATAGGGTCTCACGGACGATTTGCCCAGGCTGGCTTCAAACCGAAATCCTCCTGATCTCTGCCTCCTGAGTAGCTAGGATTATAGGCGTGAGCCACCAGAGCCTGGCTGTAAATTGTCATTTTTAAGAGACAATTATATGGTTTTCCAACTATGGGACTTGTCAATAACAGGCATTAAAGATCCATGGGACAGTCGGCCACCAGTGGCTCATACCTATAATCCTGTAATTGGGAGGACTGAGGTTTGAGGCCAGCCTGGGCAAATAGTTCACAAGACACCATCTCTAAAATAACCAGAGAAAAATGGACTGGAGGTGTGGTCAAGCAGTAGAGAGTCTGCTTTGCAAATGCAAAGCCCTGAGTTCAAACCCCAGTCACACACACACACACACACACACACACACACACACACGAAACAGAGAAGTTATAATGGAACCAAACTGAACCAGATTGGACTTTACTGGCAGCAAGTGATCAAAATATACCTATGCTGGACTGGGCTAGGAAGATAAGGTACCCAGCACAAGCACTTGGGAGTTACAAAATCAAAACTTATTTGTTTGGAGCAAATGTCTGGTCAAGAACTCTGATGTTGGGGGAAACTCTATGAAAAAGAGGCCACCCAACAGGTAAAAGATTCAGGTAGGATTGCAGTGATCTTGGATCTTCGGTTCTGAATCATCACCCACCAGTCATATAGATACCTGAAATACTAACATTGGTATTTCAGGTAAATGAAAACTGAACCCTCAGAAAAGAATAAAATGTAAAATAGAGGCTGGGGGCACAGCTCATGTGCCTAGCAAGCTCGCAGTTCTGGGTTCAACCCCTCAACCCCTCCACACACACACACACACACGTAAAATAGAACTAATGAACAAGCAAATATAAAAATTCATAGTACTACCTGGGCTTGGTGGCTTATGCCTATAAAGGATAGCAGTTCAAGGCCAGCTGGAGCAAATAGTTCAAAAGACCCTATCTTGAAAATTCTCAACACAAAAAAGGGCTGGTGAAGTGGCTCAAGTGGTATAGTACCTGCCTAGGAAGCATGAGGCCCTGAGATCAAACCCCACACCAAAAAAAAAAAATCCACAGCACTGAAATGTTAATAGTTAGTTTTAGTGCTACATGTATGGATCAGTAACGTAATCATTGTACTATGTGCCTGGTCTACTTTTAAGAGAAAAGCATTTAAAATAATTTCATATATTAAATTTAGGAATTTTATTTATTTATTTATTTATGGTGTTGGGGATCAAACCCAGGGCCTTGCTCAAGGTAAACATGCAATCTACCACTGAGTCACTTCCCCAGTCCTAAGGATTTTAATTAAATGCTTAGAAGTCTTTAAGTTAGCAATTAATGTTTACCTGTTTGAAAAATTCTAAGTTGTTTAACCTGTAAGTTTTTTGTTGTGAGAGTGGTTTGCACATATTAACATAATGTTCTTTACTATTTAGTGAACTGTTCATTTGATAAATTAGATTAATATACTGAGCACTGAATAACACACAAAGGGTCACAGATTTTTTTCCTCCACACTAGGACCTTGACATCAAGAATCTTAAAAGGCTCCTGGGATATGAGGAAGCAATGTGCCTTTTCCTTACTTTTGGCCTTTGGACATGGTCCTGAGGATGGGAAGTTATGGCTGAGGCTGCATTAGTCATCTTGCTACTGGATAGCAGTGGGGGAAGATGGCTGACTGAAAGAGAAAAAGATACCCTGGAACTGCTGCCTTGGCCTGTGAGAAGCCTCTTCCACTGGGGATTTTAATTATTTGCAACTTTATTGCCTGCCTTACCACCTGCCCCACCTCTGTTCCTGAGCTCTCAACCTTGACAATCCTTTATTTTTTTTAACTTTATATGCTTTATTTATTTATTTTTTAATTATTCATTTATTCTCATGGGCATACATTGTTTGGATCATTTCTCCCCCCCGCTCCCCTCCCCCATCATCTCTCCCCCCTTTCTCTTCCCCCTCCCCCTCTCACTTCCAGGCAGAACCTGTTCTGCCCTTATCTCTAATTTTGTTGAAGAAAAGACAGAAGCATAATAAGGAAGACAAAGCGTTTTTGCTAGTTGAGTTAAGGACAGCTATACAGAAATATTCCTAGCATTGCTTTCGTGTACACGTGTGTTACAACCCATGTTGATTCATCTCTAACTGATCTTTACACTGGTTCCTAATCCCGTGTTAACCTCTGTCGCTTTAAGGTTTCTATATTAGTTCCTCTGGAGTGGGTTGACTGCCCTTTAGAGTCTCCTACTGATGCTCTCTGATGCTACCCCCAGAGATTCTGATTCTGATTTAACTGGTCCTGGGTGCGGGCCTGGCATGAGACTACTGAACACCCCTTAGCAGGTGATGGTAATGAATAACCAGGGCCAAGAACCACTGATCTAACTATAAGTCATCTCTGCTCTCCCTTTGTAATTTTATGGTCCTATCTCATCCTCTGGTTATCTGTGCTTCTTTCCTCTCCTACTAAGACTATGGGCTCCCAGATGGTCTTCCAAACAATGCATGCACCCCTTCATTCACTGACTCCAAGTACCTGGTACCAATGAAATTAGCAGAATCACCCCTTATTTGGAATTCAGGTTCTACAGTCGATGCTTAGCGCATAAATCAAAATCAACCATGACAACGCCCCTCCCCCCCCACCGCCACTGCCCTTAGGAAGGCCCTGTCCTGGATCCTGATGTACTGTTTCCCCATAACCATCCACACAGACAATTTCCTGCTGGGCTTGAACAGAAAACTGCCTCTTCCATCAGGCACCAGAAGAAGTAGGTGGCTTATGTTTAGGGGCCACCTTGAATTAAAAAACCACACATTTAACCATGTACCTCACGCTCAGCACAGCAGGAAGCTCATGCCATGAACAATCCACAGGAACCAGAATGACTGACCCTACAGGAAACACACGTCTTCCATCTCACACCCACTTCTGAGCATATGGTACTCATATCCACCAGTGGGTGGATCACCCACGACACTTAACTTTTTTTGTCAAGGATTCAGGGTTGAATTCATGTGACTTTCTGTATGAACAATGTGCCTCCACTGCACAATTACATCCAGCTCGAGCAGCCCCTCCTCTTCCAGTACCTGCCCCACAAGCAGGTGGCCAGACGATCTTCTTCCCTCACATCCCTTCTCTCCCTCTCAGACTCTGCTGCTCCCTAGTTCTCTATCCTTGGCATGTCTCATTAACTCCTTTCCCCAGGGCTCTTGACCCTACTGAGGACTACTGAATCTGCATTAAAAAAAAAATGGTAAGATTTCCCTTCCCACTTAAGAGAGGTGTGGCCTAAGAGGTTTCCCCAATTTCACTCTGAGAAGAGTGGAGCAGAGAAGAGCTCTTCTAGGCCTCAGAGGCTGGGTTTTCAGGATGCAGGGCACAATAAGCTTTTTGTGAATGAATGCATACATGGTTAAGAATGGGACTTCAGCCAACTTGCAAGGGACCCTCCCCACCTCTCAGATATATCCTGAAATCTAGATTTCACTTGCTTATCTGAAATCCCAGGCCAGGATTTTTGCCACATCAAGCCACAAAAAGCTCAGCAGTACTCACAGGCTTTTAATCTACAACTTCCTAGACTACTCCATCACTGCTCCAGGATGGTGGGGAGGGATGAAGAGGTATAGGCAGATAGACCATACCAGCTCCAAGTCCAAGAGGGAAGGGTCACGGTCAGGCTGGGGCCTGGGCAGGAGGGTCCCGGCCCCAGGTGATGAGGGAGTTGCTGGCCTGGGCAAGTTCGGTGATGGACACCCGGCCCCGCTGTCGGATGAAGTTGGCCACGGCAGCCAGTTCCTCTGGGGTTATGTAGATGAACTTGCCCCGGTCGTCAATCACACCTGTGGGGACATGCAGGTTGTGGGGCTGAGCCCTCCTAGGCCCTCCCCACCTAGCCTAAGAATACCCACCCATTCTTTCACAACTGGCTCACAGCAGGTCTCTTGCCTGCCTGCATCCAATCCTGTCTGGCATATCAAATCAGGTGCTCCTGACTATCTTCATCACCCCACAGCCAGCCCCTGGGTCTCAGCATGTTCTGCTTTAAGTGTGTCCAACTTCTCAGTGGCTCTTATTGTATACCCCTGCCCTACCCAGAATGGTCATCCTGCCTCTGGCTAGATACTCCCCAAGGCCAGGACATGTAGTAATTGATTCTCATTCTCTCACCTGTTAGAGTCCCGTCAGCCAGTAGGTCTTGGATACGGTTTATGGTATCCTATGAGAAGAACAATTCTCAGGGTAGAGACAGGTGCTATGCTCCCCAAAAAGAGACACCTGCAACCTCCCTCCTACTAAAGCCAAATCTCCTCCTCTCGCTCTGATGGCTGTCCCCAGTATGACTCTGCTTTTCCCTTGGAGGAGCTCCAGCAGGAAGGAGCTCTGGTCCTGGGCCCCGCAAGAGCTCCTAATGGAGGCTGTCTTCCATTTGGGAAGGGATGAGAAGGCAGCAGCAGTGGGAATGTACGGCCACAAAGTAGCCTGTTTGCAGGAGTTGTCAAGGTAACTGGATTTGGGCTCTCTTTTGGTGGAGGGATGGGATTTGAATTTTCTTTGTCTTTTCTGTTTGTTCTTTTCATATAATAGAAATTCAGGATTCCTAGGATGCGAAAAGATTCCTACACTCTACTCACTCTTGGGTTGGGGCAAATTGATGGGGGCATCAGGACTTTCTAACTTTAGGGCAGCCCTTCCATACCTCACTAGACACACAGACCCTGGGGCCACATTGCACATAACAGTCCACCCTTCAGGGCTTACCTGAGTCCGCAGGCCCACCTGGGAAGCCAAATCTTCCAAGAGCACAACCTTGGACTGCTACAAGGAGAGGGAGGAAAATGGAGAGAGGCTGGGATTGGACAAATCCCTTCCAACATGGGTACCCTCTGAGGTCTACATTCTGATCTGATCTGTTCCGTTTAAAAAGCTGTTTTGAAAAACTGTCACCAAGACTTGTGTTTGCCGAGAATCTGCCAAGAAAAGCACTGAGAAGGTGCAGGGGACAAGACATAGATCTACCCTTTAAACTCATAGACCAGCTGGTAAGATAGGAAGAAAATGCACAAGGAAAGGATAAAAGGCCCCAACAAGCTGGGTCTTTCAGGTTAGTGGATGTTCATTCTTACCTCACCTTTGCTCTCTACCCACTCAGCCTGGATCCCCCACAACCCTGACACACACATTTCTTTTCACCCAGTCTCCTCACACTATCAGAGGCACTGAGCCCATCCCTAAAATAACTGTTGCTAATGTTAATGAGCACTTCCCATGTGCAGCCCTGTGCCATGTTCCACATGCTACTCTCATACCCTCAGTAGAAATTTGAGTTCCCAGAGGTGCAACTGAGGATCCATGTCTGGGTCTACACATGTATCTGCCTCTGCCTCCCCCACAGACAGCATGTGACTGGAGAGAAGGTGGTCCTTTGCATTTCTGTAAATCTTCCACAGCAAATGAGCTGGGGGAGGAATGACACTGTGACACCTCCCCGGCTGCAGATGGCATGTGATTTGTTTGAAATGCCAAACTGTATGTGCAAGCAGGGAGACAAGCAAGAGGCAGTTGGGCCATGGGGTAACCTGGCCAACTGGCCTCTACCAACAAAACAGGGAACAGGCACTGGGCTCTCAGTGACAGCTCAGAGAAGAACCACAAAGTCACCCCTGTGGTCCCTGAGGACCTGACCTGAGGTACTGCTAGGTGCCAAAAGTGTGTTTGAAGAAAAATGACCAAACAGACATACAAGCCCATCCGTGGCCAGCAAGTGGAATAGACTGATAAGAGCAAGCTATCCCTACAACTATGCTCTATGCAGAAATCTTCTTCTGGCTCTGGAATCCTAAGTCCATAGGGGCCAATCCCTTGGAGTAAGAAAAAGGTGGGTGGACTGAGTTTCGGAAGTTCTTTTTTCTGTAAGACAGCAGCTATGGGAAAATCAGCCAGCACAGGCTGAAGAAACTCCTAAACTCCAAGAATTTGGAAGACCCTCTAAAATGGAACTTCTGGGAAGCTACCAAAAGCAAGGGCCAGAACTGCCCTAGGGACTTTCTTCTGGCCTCTGAGAGGACCAAAGGAGACTCCCTCCTCTAAATCCACATAGGAAGGCTTCCTGGAGGAGGCACTTCAGGACCATGTTGTGGTCCACTACGTAGGTATGGACAGCAAGATCCAAACAGCAGCAGGACAGTGTGAGAAATCCTGCCCAGGACAGCAGTCTCTAATCAAGTGTACCTGATGGAGAAAGAGCTCTAATAAAGGGAAATGCTCAGTGCCAGAGGGAACAGGAGCAGGACCCTCTGAAAGCTGCCAGCATTTCTTCCTCTTAGGGACCTTGGGTCCCAGATTGTGAGCCCAAACCTTCATTGTAGCTGGGAGGCATCTAAACCCAGCTCTCTTGAGGAGAGGTGGGGAGGATTATACAAGCCCCGGCTCCTTGGCGGCCCCTGGTACCACCCCCACCATCGCCCCCACTCCCTCTGCACTCCTTCCCTCAGCCGCCTCTGCACCTCTGAGTTGCACTTAAAAACCTCTCCCCTCACTGCATCCTTTGTGGGAGAGAAGTTGCTTAGCAGCAAAGCAGATCAGGACGTGCTTATGTAGACCAGAGTAGCATCGAGGAGGCCTTTGAGATGGCTGTGGATGGAAGGGACATACTGTTGCCCCACCCTAGTTACAAAGGAAATAACACCCTATTTCTTCTGGAAGACCCATATTCCTGGTCAGGAGCACATGGCAGAGGATGCCTGTTTCAACTTAGCAGAGCCTCAGTGTGACAGAAATGACAGAAAACACATGTAAAGAGACTTGAAAACACAGTGATTCACTAAGCGTAGGGTCTGAAGAGCAGGGGAACTGTCAAACCAAGTGTGAGGAAGCCATCAGAGGCCTGAGCCTCCCACACAGAACCAGGTCCTTCTCCACCTCTGGGTCCAAGGGGAAGGAATTCTGCTGGCCTGGATCTGGCAACTCAGCCCCTCTGAGCCCCATGCCCACTTTTGTTTAAGATTGACTAAACCTTCTGCAGTGCCCACTACTGCCTGCCCAACTTGGTCCTGAGAACACACACATACGTACACACGCATGCACATATAGCAGGAGATGACACCAGTGCTCTTCTGAGTCTCTTACCTTAATGTAGTTAATGAATTCTGTCAAGAAGCTGTGTGACTAGAGGGGCAGAGAAATTAGGATGAGTGTCTCCCTGGCAAAGACTACAGGCCTGGCACCAACTACGTGTACTCTCTGCTTACCTGAGTGCTGCCTGCCTGTCACACCTACCTGTGTTCCCTCCCAACCACCTGCTTGCATAAACGGCAGAGCCTTCTAGGGTATGGGGTGATGGGGCAGCACTACTCTGTTAAGGACAAGGTTCTGGCCACAAGATCATGCTAGTACTGATGCCCAACTGCCTCTCAATATCCAGCCAGGGATGTCTAAGGTGGGGTAACCGACCTTGGGCCTGACACAGGCTGCCTTGGTATCGTAAGTTTCCCTGAGGTGGTAGACCCACCTGCTCTTCAGTCATGGTCTCACCCACACCCTCCTCCTCCACCACGAAGGCCTCCTTCAGTTTCAAGTACTCCTCATGCTCCCGCCGGGCCTGCTCCTCTCGGGCCTTTCTCTCCTCTTCCTCCTGTGAACAGAGAGAAGCAATGGTCAGGTATTTGGGGCAGACGCCCACCCATCTCTATTCTGGGTCCTGCTGTCCCTACAGGGCATCAGGGCATACAGCCCATCATTTTCTCAGGGATAGAGCTCTTTTAAGACTCCCATTCCCTAGCCTCCAAGCTAAAAAACAGGCAGAGGCCCCTCTCATCATCAGCCCCATTACCACCCAGACAAAGGCTGCTCAGTCCCTTTCCCTGCCCTCCCTGCTCAGGTTATCAACTTAGCAAAAGTCTCTTGAAAATTCTGCCACAGCTCTATCCAGTCACATCCAAACTTCATGAACAAATACCAGGCTCCACTTCCTTACCATCCATGTACCCAGCAGTCCATTCCAGTCCTGTCTGGCTTCCATGTACCCAGCTCCACTGAGACACCTCCTGCTATAGTCTCACTCATGCCCTCCACTTCACAAATCCAAAGGGAAACCTTCAGGCCTAGATCCCTGTCCTCTCAGTGATGCTGATCATAGCCAACCATCTCCTCTTTCCTTCTTGGTTTCCATACCCCACCTTCTCCTTGGCTTATTCCTACTCCTTGGGCCACTCTTCCCACCTCCAACATTCAGTCCTGTTCCTGCTCTGTCCTCCAAACTCTGTCTGGGTGACCTCACCAAGGCCCACAGCATCAACAACCACTACCTTGGCAGTGACCGCAACAGTTGTATTCCCACCCAAATGTTTCCTCCCAAACACACAACTGGTGCCGTCTCACAGCCACTGAACAGACCCTGTGATCTACCCCATATGTATGGTCCTCCTGTTGGGTCCTTGGCTACATGAATCACACAATCATCTGGATGGATGCCCTGCTCAGAAATGAGGTCCCACGTATTGCTTTTTTCTAACTTCCACAAAATTTCTTATTCCATCCATATTGACACCACTCACTACCTAGCACAACAGCCTCCTCCCAATCTAATCATTTCCCAGACCACTCAGAAAAAATGTTTCTAAAACATGAAGCTAGGGCTGGCAGAGTGGCAAGCGGTAGAGTGCTTGCCTAGCAAGCAGGAGGCCCTAAGTTCAAACCCCAGTACCACCAAAAGAAAAGAAAAAAAATATGAAACTAATGCTAGGGCAGCTAATAAACAAGCTAACCCGGAGTATCTTACAGTGACAGAAAGTGCTGAAAACCAAAACAAAACAAACAAGCAAACAAAAAAAGAGGCTATGTCAAAGATGCACAGGAAACAAGTGAAATGGTTCCCAATGGCCAAAGCTAGAACAATTTGAGCAGCATCCTTTTACTAACGTGGTATTGGATGATAACACAAAGTGCAATATAAATACCCATGGGATGTAAAGAAACAATAAGGAAGAGACAAATCTCCTGTGCAAAATATTTCTAAGTAATTTACCCAGAGCTGGGTGTTGGTGTCTCACACCTATAAATCCTAGCTTCTTTGGAGGCTGAGATTGGGAGGATCTTGGTTTGAAGCCAGCCTGGGCAGAAAGTTACAAGACGCCATGCCCAAAATAACCAGAGTAAAATGGACTAGAGGTGTGGCTCAAGCAGTAGAGCACCTGTTTCGCAAATGCAAAGTCTTGGGTTCGAACCCCACTCTCACCAAAATGAAAAGAAATTATGTAGGTACTCTTCTCTCAGGGAGTTAGAGTACAACTCTCCACTCCTTAAGTGTGGGTTGGGGATAGTGACTTCTTTCCAAAGAAGCATAGGAAAGCAGGAAAACAATGTAACATTATGCTCAGATTATAGCTCAATGTTTTAGCACTTGTATAGCATGTACAATGCCCTGGGTTAAATCCACAGCACCACAGCAGGACAAAAATAAAAATAAAGAAATAACAAACAGAGGTTTACTTAAAGAAAGAACAAACAGAGAAGGAAGGAAGGGAGGAAGGAAAGAAAGAAGCCAGGTGTGGTGATGTATACCTCTAATGCCAGCACTTGGGAGGGTAAGGCAGATCTTGAGTTCAAAGCCAGTGTGGGCTATACAGCAAGATCTTGTCAAAAGGGGCTGATGGGCTGGGCACTGACGACTGTAATCCTAGCTACTCAGGAGGCAGAGATCAGGAGGATTGTGGTTCTAAAACAGCCTGGGAAAATAGTACATGAGACCCTATTTTGAAAATAACTCACACAGAGCTGGTGGAGTGGCTCAAGATGTAGGCCCTGTTGAGTTCAAGACCCAGTACTGCAAAAAAAAAAAAAAAGGGACTGATGGAGTGGCTCAAGTGGTAGAGAACCTGACTAGCAAGTGTGAGGCCCTGAGTTCAAACCCCAGTACTGCCAAAAAAAAAAAACCAAAGATCCTGTCAAAAAAGAAAGGAAAGGGAAGGGAATGCTACTACAGTGGAGAAAGCTGGCAAATACCACCTCAGCCTGCTGACCTAAGTTAGCAGTAAATCAAGTGGATAAGGTATACCCTTGAAATATTCTGTTGAAATGGAACGTTACTTGTCATCTTCTCCCCCAAGTTTATAACCCCAGTTCAGCTCAACTGGTAAAGCATTTGCCTAGTATGTGCGAGGCTCTGGATTCCATCCTCAACACCTCCTCTCCCCCGCAAAAAATCTATAACCCCAGTCTAATTATAAGAAAAATATCAGCTTGGCACTGGAGGCTCATGCCTGTAATCCTAGCTACTCAGGAGGCAGAGATCGGGAGGATCACAGTCTGAAGCCAGCCTGGACAAATAGTTCATGAGACCTCATTTCAAAAAAGGGCTGGTGAAATGGTTCAAATGGTACTGAGTTCAAACCCCAGTACCGCAAAAAAAAAGAAAAAGAAAAACATCACCCAACTTGAATTGTGGAACATTCTACAAACTACTTGCATAGTATTCTACAAGCGGTCAGGACTGACCTGTGGGTATGGCTCAAATGGTAGAGCATGCCCAAAGCCCTGGGTTCTAGTCTCTGGTACTGCAGAAAATAAAAAATAAAATAAAAATTGGAAAGATCATCAAAAACAAGGAAAGTGTGACAGTTGCAACCCATGGTAGCCTAAGAAAACATTATAATTAAAATAATGGTATCCTAGATGGGGCCATGGAAAAGAAAATGGATACTAGGCACAAACTAATGAAATGTGACGAATGTGTACTGTTTAGTTAATAGTAATATATCAGTGTTATCCCCCCCATAACAAATATGTCCTTACAAGAAAATATATCAACTTTAGTTGTAAGAAATGTACCAGGATCTTACAGTAAGGTAAAATGCTAACAACATGAGAAACTGGGTAGAGGGAAAAAGGTCTAGAACAGTGAACGTGCATTAGGCAGGATCAATATTCAGAAAAGTGAAAAACTTCTCTGCTGGTACCTCAACTCCCAGCCCACTCCTACCACTGCTACAGTGCCCACAGCCAGGATTCCTGACATCCAGGGTCTTGAGACAACAGGGCCAATCAGAAGCCAGCTGGGATAGCCTGGGCTCTTTACACACCTCACATCTTTCTGCTGTTCCCTGTCTTGGGAGCTTGGCTCTCAGAACAAGCAAACTCTCATTAACCACCAATTCCCAGAGCACCTTCTGCTATGCTGGGCCTTAAATGGATCCACTATCTCTAATGATGACTTTAACAGCTCAAGGCCCTTAGGCTCAAGATCCCACTTACCTCTCTGACCCTCTTCTCTCTTAGCTTACTATGTTCCAGTTACTCTGACTGCCTCAATGATCCTTAAATGTTCCAGGCATACTCTATAAATCATATGCATAAGAATCCCCATCTCAGGCTCTGCTTTGCAGCAGCAGCTTCCACAGGTGGTATTTTGAGGCCAGGGAACAAATAAACCAGGAGCTACCCTGTGCCTGATCCATAGCCCAGCTTCTAAGATGTAGGTGTTAGGGAGCTGTATAGGAAACAAGGCTGGCTGGTTAGGGGTCAGAACACAGGGTTGGGGGTCAACCTCACCTTCTGCTCCTCCTCCAGGCGAAGCCTTTCCTCTTCCTTCTTCCATTCTGCCTCACGCTGGGACTCCAGGCGTTTCCGCTCCTCACGTTCAGCTTCCTCTGCCTGGAGAGAGGCCTTCATAGGGGCAAATCCCCCACCCCCAGATGATCTGCCAACTTCCCTGATAGGATAGGGAAGGCAATATCTGGACCCAGAGCACAGACCAAGCCTGCATGAGACTGAGACAGGCAAGCAGCAGCCACCAGCCCAGCCAAAAGAACCCCAAGGGCAGAGACTTTACAATAAGGAAGGCTGGGTCCTTCCGCACCTCCCAGATCCCCATCCCTCCTACTTGCCTCACGCTGGGCTTTTCGCGCCTGTTTCTCTTCTAGCTTCCGTAATTTCTTGGTTCCAATTTTCCCTGTCAGATGCGTTTCCACTGGTTTCTCAATGCCTTCTTCCTCCTGGGCTAGGTATAGTTAGAGAAAGACAATTCAGGTCCTAGCCAGAGAGAATTTGCCGTGATTCTTCACATGGGGAGCCCCTTTCATCTATCTCTGCCCTCCAGAGGCATCTGCTGTAAATTTGTGTGTGTGTGTGTGCATGTGTGTGTGTGTGTGTGTGTGTGTACATGGGATGGGGAAGGGAATGTAAGGCCTGGGGACAGATTCAACTTTAGATAATAGCATAGCAGTAAGAGGGAGAGGCCAATATCCAAATGTCTGAGGATCACAGATGGGAGTGTCTTGGCGTGCAGAGGTCCCTGGCTTCTGTCTCTATGCCAAACCTCCATGAAAGGACAGCCCTGTGGGGAAATTTATCCAGTCTCAAATCTGAAATCCTCCTCACTTTAGTCAGGAATTATTGAGCATTGTACGTTCAGTCCCTGGTCAGGATTTTCCCTTTGTCCCACCAGAACCAAGCTAAAAAGACAGCCCTAAACCCATAGATACCTGAAAATTAAAGATCTGCTGACACCTGAGTGGTAAGGGTATCTAACCCCCCAGGAGAGGTGACTCAAAAAAGGGCCTCTTTTTGTTGTTTAGGTTTTTTGATTGTTTTTTATTTTTTTAGTGGTACTGGGGTTTGAACTCAGGGCCTCTCACTTACTAGGTAGGTGCTCTACCACTTGAGCCACTCCAACAGCCCTTTTTGTGTTGGGTATTTAAGAGATAGGGTCTTACAAACTATTTGCCCAGGCTGGCTTTGAACTCCGTAGTACCTCCTGATCTCTGCCTCCTGAGTAGTTAGGATTACAGGTGTGAACCATAGGAACCCAGATTTTGTTGTTTTTTGAAATAGGGTTTCCCTATATAGTCTAGGCTGGCCTAGAACTCCTCACAATTCTCCTGCCTCAGTCTCCTTAGTACTGAGATTAAAGTCACCTGCTGCCACCATGCCCAGCACATTTTTTTGTTTCTGTTTTCAGACAGGGTCTGGCTGTATAGCCCAGGCTGGCCTCAAACTCAAGAGCTTTCCAGAGGCAGGCAGTGGGGGAAAAAAAAAAAGAGAGAGAGCTTTCTAGCTCCTCCTCCTCCTGAGTGCTGGAATAACATTTGGCTCAGAGGGTCTCTCTTATTTTTTCCTTGGTGGTATTGGTATTTGAATTCAGGGCTTTCTACTTGCTAAGCAGGTACTCTACCACTTGAGCATGCCCCCAGCCCACAGGGGGCCTTTTTTTGAAACAGAGGGGCTAATGCCCAAGATTCAAGGCAAAAGTACAAAATGTCCCCAGTTTCTGGGAAAAGGCCAGATACACCGTTGTTAGACTTGAGCTAGCTTTTAAGTACTAGAGGTGGAAATACTCTTTTCCCCAATCTTAAGGGCTCTGTTGGTCTTGCAGCCCCAGAGATATGGTGGCCTCTGGGTCAATAGGAATGTCTCTATACCCAAACTCCTCCTCTGGGGTTATAAGTGACCCTGCTCCAAGAAGGTGCTGGGGCATAAAGGGTGGATTGAGGAACTCTTTAGGTCAATCTGAAGACCCTTGCTCTCCTGCTTGGACACTGAGAGTCAAGATGAAGAAAGTGGGGACTTGCCCAATGGAAGAGGGATTGGGGCCCATAACCATTGTCTCCAAGGACCAAAGTCCAGGTCCCATGTTTCTATCCACTCAACTCTGTGGCTCCAAGGTGTGTTTCCTACACTGTTACTTCACATTCCACACCCCCATTTAGTTTTGGGGACTCATTTATCATCCTCAGTCCAGCCTTCCTCCCCACAAGGCTGAGCCCTTCTCACCTGGGATTGCAGCTTCCTCCTCATTCTCATCCACTTCTGCCCAGGCCACATGCTGGGCTCGACGATGGGCCTGTAGGCGACTGCTTAGGTCCCTCCTGCGCCGGGGCCTGCCTCCAGCTCTCTGTTCCTCAGGCTCCAGGGCACGAATCTGGGCTGCCCGGCCTGCCACTACTGGCTCCTCCTCATTGTGCAGTGGTTCTTGACCAGCTTTGGGACGAGAGGAACCATGATGCTATCAGGCAGCCAAGTCCTCCCGATGCCAAGGAAGAGTAGCATCCTGGAAGCCTCACCCCTCCCCTGCTCAAACTCCTTCCAAACTCTTGATACTGGCAGCATAAAGCTTCAATTTCACAGTATGCCTGTCAAGGACTCTACAACTCACCCCTTTCCTCCTGCCTATAATGAAATTTTCTCTCCTCTCAACACCCAACCTTTTCAGCTGGCCTGTTGGAATCCTCCCACCCTGATGTCTCCAGATCTCAATAAAAGTCCACTGCAGCACTATACTTACTTTTTGCTTAACACCACCTGCTGTGGTTTTTTATGGCACCCCAACTAGAGAGTACACTTCTCAGGCAGGGGCTGAGTCTCCACCCCTAAGAAGATTTGTTGCGTGGCTATCTGCTGTCCCTCAGTTCCTCTCTCCCCTATCCTTGGAGCATGTCTGTGCTCTGAAATAGCTGTGGTTCCAGGAACCAGACACAAATCACTATGTTGACAAGACATAGGGAAGAGAGAGGGGCCTGACAGGTGTATCTGTTCTGGGTCTGCATGGACTTCTTGTCGAATGCAGAACAGGGAGGAGGGGAGGCCAAGGCAGCATGGGTGCTGTCCTTGGTGGGAAGGGAGAGAACTTCAGAGAGTTTCCTAGAGCCACCTCCTTTTCCTTCCAGCTAACGGTGGGCAGAAAACACTGAGATTGCCCCGTCCCTGGCAGCCAGTCTGGAGCCAACCTGGGAGGGATGGGAAACCCTGCGGCCTCCCCTAAGAGTGCAGAGGCCCAGATGGTAAAGAACGGGAGTGTGTGCCAGGGACTGGCCTCTGTACGTATGATGTGCCAAGGGCCGAAGAGAAGGACAGGGCAAGACTCTCGCTCAGAGACAGAAAAAGGGCGTAGGGGCGCCGACCCTGGGTTCCCGGGTTCGGTCCCAGCCCTGCAGCACGGGTCCCCCGTGGTGCCCACGTACGCGCATGCGTGTAACCCGCAGGCTGGAGCGCATCAGTCCTACCGGCCAAACAGGCGCATGCGCATACGCCGCAATGCGACGGCCTACCAAAACTCAGAAGGCCCAAGAACAGGACCCAACCGACCTGGCGTGGTGGCATCTCTTACCTGTTGCCCCCCGGCTCCGAATGCGAGTCAAGAATAGGATAAGGCCAACAAGCAGAGCTGCCGCCACCAAATACACCACCGGCGCCACCATGACGACGGTCTCCCAGCAGAACCAGCGCGGGGTCCCGCACTGAGGCCCGGATCGCCCAGGACCCGCCCACTGCCCGCATGGCCCCTCCCGCTTCCCACTCTAGGTTCTGCCCCCACCACCCGAGTCCGCCAAGGCTGCGCGCTTCACGTAGACATCTTAAATTTATTTTTAAAGAGTTACAGGACAAAAAAAGAAAGAGAAAAGACAAAAGAAAATAAAACAAAAAAGAGTTATAGGAGTGTTCAAGAAATGTTACTAAGTGGAAGTTATCGTAAATGGTTATTGAAGTTTTAAAATCTCCGGGGCGGAGGATGTGGCTCAGTGGTATATGACAGGCCCTGGGTCGGATCCCCAGCACCGCGGGGGCGGAGGGGAACAAGAATTGTATGAAATTATTAGAAAAATACTACGTAGTGTTCATAGAAATTAACAGATATGGAAAAATACGAAAAGATGCGTGGGAATGATACACACCAACTTTAGGATGGAGGTTATCGCTGGATGTGAGGGCAATCTGGGAGGGCTGGCTGTGGATGGCCAGGGTTGATGCCGCGGATCTGGCAAGGTAGGCAGTGTCCCGGTGCCTCCCTAGGCTGCGCTCCCCTGCCGGAACCTCCAAACAAGCTCTCACAAGGAGAGCTTCGCCAGCATCTGCGATATTTTATTTCTTTGGAGGGAGGAAGAGCAACTCTTTCACTTAAATAAATAGGCTTATTTATTTCGGTGGTACTAGAGATTGAACTCAGGGCCTTGCATGAAGCATGACCCAGCCCTCATTTAAATTATGTAGACAGGTGCTCGTGGCTTACATCTGTAGTCACAGCATAGATACTGAGATAATTTGAGGCCAGCCCAGACTAAAAGCAAGAGCTTATCTCAAAAATACCCAATGTAAGAAGGGACTGGTGGAATTAATGCTTCAAGTGGTACAGCGCTCTTCTAGTAAGACTCAGGCCCTGAGTTCGAACCTCATTTACCGCAAAAAGGTAAAGTATGATGTATTTTTTTCTACAGTTTTATATCTATTTTAAAATAAAATTAGTTTCATTAGGTTGTACAAGAAATGCTTTTCCATAGTGAGAACTCAGCATACCCACAGGAAATTTAAATTTGTCCTTGTTTTGGACCTATATAAAAGTGGCAACAAATTATACTTCAATAAAGTTCTTGAAAAGGACATGCAACAGAGAGGGCGGGGTTCTCTGAGCACACCAAGAAGTGGGGAGGAGCACGGAGCTGCTCTCCATGTGAACTTTCAGTAAACAAAGCCTGCAAAGTAGACGGCCCACAAGCTGCTCCAGAGGCACCTGCACACCCATGTTTATTGCAGCACTATTCACAATAGCCAAGTTATGGAAACAGCCAAAATGCCCCACTACTGACGAATGGATCAAGAAAATGTGGTATCTATACACAATGGAATTTTATGCAGCCATGAAGAAGAACGAAATGTTATCATTCGCTGGTAAATGGATGGAATTGGAGAACATCATTCTGAGTGAGGTTAGCCTGGCCCAAAAGACCAAAAATCGTATGTTCTCCCTCATATGTGGACATTTGATCAAGGGCAAACACAACAAGGGGATTGGACTATGAGCACATGATAAAAGTGAGAGCACACAAGGGAGGGGTGAGGATAGGTAAGACACCTAAAAAACTAGCTAGCATTTGTTGCCCTTAATGCAGAGAAACTAAAGCAGATACCTTAAAGCAACTGAGGCCAATAGGAAAAGGGGAACAGGTACTAGAGAAAAGGTTAGATCAAAAAGAATTAACCTAGAAGGTAACACCCATGCACAGGAAATCAATGTGAGTCAATGCCCTGTATAGCTATCCTTATCTCAACCAGCAAAACCCCTTGTTCCTTCCTATTATTGCTTATACTCTCTCTACAACAAAATTAGAAATAAGGGCAAAATAGTTTCTGCTGGGTATTGAGGGGGGAGAGGGAGGGGGTGGAGTGGGTGGTAAGGGAGGGGGTGGGAGCAGGGGGGAGAAATGAACCAAGCCTTGTATGCACATATGAATAATAAAAGAAAAATGAAAAAAAAAAAAACAGGTCTCAGGCTAGGGATGTGCTCAAGTGGTAGAGCACATGACTAGCAAGTGCAAGGTCCTAGGTTCATTCCACAGCACAACAAAGAAAAAGGAGAAACAAAACAAAACAAACCCCCCCCAAAACAGATGAGGCATGCAAGTTTTTGGTTTTTTTTTTGCTGTGTTTTGTTTTTGGGGCACTGGAGTTTGAACTCAGGGTCTCGCACTTGCTAGGCAGGTGCTGTAACCACTGGAGCCATTCTGCCAGCCCCCAGGTTTTTTAAAAAAGTAAATAACTAGCTGGGCACTGGTGGCTCACGCCTGTAATTCTAGATACTCAGGAGGCAGAATCAGGATTAGGTTGGAAGCCAGTCCCAGCAACTATTTTGTGGAACTCTATCTCAAGAATACCCAAAACAAAACAGGACTGGTGGAGTGGCTCAAGTGCTAGAGCGCTTGCCTAGCAAGCGTTCAAACTTGAGTACTGCCAAAAAAAGAAAAAAAAAAGCAAATAACTACTAGTCATTTGCTATTTCAGTAATGTACATGTGTGTGATGACAAGATTTCACCAACTACTCAGGAGGTGGAGATTGCGGAGGATCATGCTTTGAGGCAAAAAGTTATTAAGACTCCCATCTCAACAAACAAGGTAAGCATGGTGGTATATAAGTGTAATCCCAACTATAAGGGAGGCATAGATAGGATGACTGTGGTCCCAGGCTGGCCCAGGTAAAAAAATTGTGTGAAGAATAACCTAAAGCAAAAAGGGCTGGAGGAGTGGCTCAAGCAGTATAGTACCTGTCTTGCAAGCACGAGACCCTGAGTTCAAACACCAGTAGTGGAAAAAAATAATAAGTTTCAAGACTAATGGTTGTGCGGGGATTTGAAAAAAAAATGGCAACCAGCCTGGGGTTGTGTGCGTCAGCATACCCACACAGGGTATCATATATAGGGGGTTATATGAAAAAATACAGCAAAATTAATATCTTATATCTGATACATTCAGTGGTGGGAACCTGGGTATGTTTCATTATTTTCTGTAACTCTGGAAAAATTTTGTAATTTACTTTGCAAGTGCTCTACCACTGAACTACAGTCTGAGTCCAATCCCCTACATTTTAAAATGTAAAATTTTAGAGTCAGATGCATGGCTCAAGTGGTAGAGCACAGGTCTAGCAAGCTCAAAGCCCTGATTTTAAACCCCAGCACTACACACACATACAATACAGAAAAATATGGTAGAATAGATGAAATAAAAATAGTAAATGTTGATAATCTTTGGAAGTTAAGTGATAAGTATATAGGGCTCATTACAATGTTCTTTTTTTTTTTCTTTTTTGGTGGCATGGGGTTTGAACTCAGGGCCTACATGCTTACTAGGCAGGTGCTCTACCACTTAAGCTACTCCATCAGCCCATTTTGGTGTTGGGTATTTTTGAGCTAGGGTCTCGCTAAATACTTGCCCCAGCTAGCCTCAAGCCTTAATCTTCCTGATCGCTGCCTCTTGAGTAGCTAGGATTACAGGTGTGAGCCACCAGTGCTTGGCAACAAGCTCCTATAAGGGCAAGAATTGTGCTAGATTCTTTGCCTAACTGGATTTTTCTCACAATTGGGAGAATATAATTCCAAAGAGCTTTTTCTATCCTACTCCTTACTGAAGGGGTTAAAAATTCACATATTTCATCTCTTGCCTAGCATAACTGTTGAATGAGTAATTAATATCCTTACTTTTTGTTCAGAGCAGCTAAGAACTTATCTTTTTTTTTTCACACAGGATCTTGTACTTTTTCCTAACTGTCTCTCAGACCACAAACCTCCTACCGCCACCTCCTAGTAGCTGGGATTATACCCGTGTACCATCATGCCTTTTGTTTTGTTTTTTTAGTGTTAGTGGGGTTTGAACTTAGGGCCTCACACTTGCTAGGCAGGCACTATACCACTTGAACCACACCTCCAGCCCCATTTGTCTATTTTTTCATACTTAGGCTCATCAGTTAAGTAAAGCAATCAATACATTTCTTCTTATTGCCTAAGAGGATTTCTGCTGCTTGCAGTCAAGAATCCTGACTAATGATTGCATACATCATTACATCAAAGTTTTTCATACAATTCTGGATATTAACTTATCTCCTCTCACTTGGATACCAAGCCCCTCAGATTTAGAGTGAGGTCTATGTAAAGTGAAAATCCATTTACAATTCTTTCTGTTTACATGGGCTTGCAGAGCTTGCACATCTCCAGTCTAGGCTCTGGGAGTCATTGCATTGACCACAGTACATGGTATCCATGTCTGTGGTATTCCAGTGCCTATAACCACATCCCTGACAAGTACCTCATAGCCTATGGCTAGAGTTGAAGCTTTCAGCATCTAGGAAATCAGCTTTGTTGCCCTTCCATTTCCTTGGGGATTCTCCTTAACTTGATGGTGGTGGTAGTGGTGATAGAGGAGGAAGAGGACAGAAGACAGAGGGCCATGTACTCCCTGAACCTAACCTTCCCAAGGAGCCATGAGTCCTATAAAATCACACTACTGGGGCAGTGAAGGAGAAACTTTGGGATAGTTTCCTCCAAAGACACAGAAATGTCCTTTGTACTGTGTAAGGCCCTCTTGGAGAGCATCAATTTTTGGATATTCCCCTAGGACAAATTCTAGGAATTAAAAAAAATTTCAAAAATGGGCTGGGAATGTTGTTCAGTGCTTGCCTAGCATGCATCAGATCCTGAGTTCAATCCCCAGCACAATATGCACCATCTGGATTATCAGAGGACAATGACATGAAGCAAAACAACCAGGAATTGATAGACTCCATACTTCTGAATGCCCCATTGACAGAAGCTACCACTGAATCTGAGTAGCAGAGCCAACCCTAAATTTGCTGTTGGCTACATTTCAGACCTCCTTTGTGCTCCACCACAACTCTTGAAAAAGCAGGTTTCTAGCTGGGCACTAGTGGCTCAACCTGTAATCCTAGCTACTCAGGAGGCAGAGATCAGGATTGTGGTTTGAAGCTAGCTGGGGTAAATAGTTGAAGACACCCTATCTCCAAAAAACCCATCTCACACACACACACAAAAAGGGCTAGTGGAGTGTCTCAAGGTGTAGGCCATGAGTTCAAACCCCAGTACCCCCCAAAAAAAAAAAAAAAAAAAGAAAGAAAAAGAAAAAGCAGGTTCCTGATGTGAAGATTTCCACCTGATTGTTTCTGTAGCTTCCTTTGAATTCTGCTTAAAATGTGTTCTTTGCTAGTGACTCACTCCTGTAATCCTAGCTACTGGAGAGGCAGAGATCATGAGGATTACCATTCAAAGCTAGCCTGGGCAAATAGTTCGTAAGACCTTATCTTGAAAATACCCAATACAAAAAAGGGCTGGTGGAGTGGCTCAAGTGGGGAAGCGTATGCCCTAAGTTCAAGCCCCAGTGCTGGAAAAAAAAAAAAGTGTTTGCCTTTTTAAAAAAATTACTAAGGACTGCCATTATGTAAAAAACAGAGGGGACTGGTGGAGTGGCACAGTGGTAGAGTGCCTGCTTAGCAAGCCTGAGGCCTGAGTTCAAATCTCATACTGCCAAAAATAAACAAAAACCAGGCAGCTTCATTTGGTGTGGTATCTGAAGAGAAGTCCCTATCCTGACTCCTAGTCCCTATCCTAAATGACCCATTCCTGGGCTTTAAATTGTAGATGTTGTTAGTTATATTCTTATATTACAGAGTGCCTAGTATGTCCCAGGCACTGGGTCATAACGGTGAGATGATGAACAAAAACATTTGCCTTCTCTTCTAGAGAAGGGGGCTGGAGGAGTGGCTTAAGAGGTAGAGGGCCAGTCTAGTAAGCGAGAGGCTGAGTTCAAACCCCAGTACCGTCATCCTCCCCCACCAAAAAAAATGATTTCTACAGAAGGAAACAGAACCATCACACAAATGAGTACACATCTGTAGTGGAGATATTGATCTTCCTAGGGGCATCTAGAGGGTGTGGGGCCTTTGTCTTCTTCTCAGGCTCCTCTGGAAAACTCCAAGAGGACCTGAAATTTGCAGACCACTCTTCCAAGGGTTTTGCAGGGAATGGGTGGTTAGTTTCTGGGTCCATAATAGAAAGCAGGTCACCACCCAAAGCAGTGGCTCTTGAACTGAAGAATTTGTTAAGAACACAGTCTCCAATGAGGGCGTCAGCAGACAGGAGCTAGGCCTGTCTCACAGGTGGGTCTAATGGAGCACTTCAGTCCCCCTTGCTGTGAGGATACAAAGATCTGGCTGAAGCAGTGACCATGGAGAAGGGATCATAGATGTAAGAGATAAGAGAATAAGTCAAAATAATGATCTCCCAAGCCTAGGAGACGGTAAAAGATGGCTTGCTTAGGCTATGCCAAGTTTAGTTCACAGTCAACTAGATCCTAGTGGGTCTAAAGGTGAGGTCAGGATAAAGACCAAGGCTTGGGGCCTGTGTCTAGGAGACAGTCCTCCAACACAGCCTTGAAGTAGCGCACAGGAAGTGCCAACCGCCCAGGTCTTGCATCTCAATACTGTCCTCGCAGGTTCTTCACTTTCCTGTTTCCGGGCCCCTAAGAGAGACGTAAGTGGGTGAAATGAGATGCGAGTGGCCTCTTCCGCTTCAAAGCCACACCGTCTCAAACTCCACACTTGGGAGGCCCCCAGCAATTCGGGCACGAAGGGGACCGTGCCACTTTGTTCTGGTCCAGAACTGGACGCCTCAGTCTGCTTATCTGGAAAAAGATGCTCATCTGTGCTCCCCCGGGGTCTAAGCAATGACTTTTGGCGCACAGTCGCGGCCAGTAGAATGGCTTTTCATTCCACTAACTAGGGATTCGAGGTTGGGCCGGAAACCAGGCCGCCTACTTCCGCCTATAGCCGGAAGTGCCCTGCCATTCAATGTAGAGGACTTCCGGGCGCTCTGAGGGGTAACCCGGGTTCACTATGGCGGCCTCCGTAGTTGGGAAGAAGATCGTATTTGTCACAGGAAACGCTAAGAAGCTTGAGGAGGTGCCGGGAGGGTGGGGAGGCGCTGGGAATAGGCTGAATGGGGTTTCCAGGCGAGGGAAGCACGCGGGAGGAGGCGTGAAGGGAGTTCGACCCGCTGGGAAGGATGGGTCAGGACTGGCTGTGTGGAAGCGGCTGGGGATGCGTTGAGGGTGGAGGGGATTGACAGATCCCAGCAGAGCTTCTAGAATAAAGACCCAAAGACAGAAATTTTATTATATATGTGTTTTATATATATAATACTTACTCGTATAAATACATATATTTTTTGGGTAGTGTGGTGGATCTAGCTTAGGGCTTCTGGCATGCTAGACAATTGCTCTACTACTTAGCTACACCTCCAGCCTGAGAAATCTTTTTTTTTTTTTTTCCGGTACTGGGGCTTGAACTCAGGGCCTACACCTTGAGTCACTCCACCGGCTCTTTTTTATGTTGGGTGTTTTCGAGACAGTGTCTCTTGAACTGTTTGCCTGGGCTGGCTTCGAACCTTGATTGTTCTGATCTCTGTCTCCTGAGTAGCTAGGATTACAAGCGTGAGCCATCGGCGCCGGGGTATAAATCTTTTTTATTATTGTACTGGCGGTTGAACTCATGGTGTCATGCTTGCTATGCAGGCACTATACCGCTTGAGCCACTCCACCAGCTTTTTTTTTTTCAATTGGGTATTTTTGAAATAGGGTCTTGCAAACTATTTGCACAGGGCTGGCTTGGAACCACCATCCTCCTGATCTCTGCCACATGAATAGCCAGGATTACAGGCGTGAGCCACTGGCACCTGGCTGCTTTGGTTATTTTTAAGATAGGGTCTTACTTTATGGCCACCTTGGATGTGATCTTCCTATTTATGCTTCCTGTGTAGTTGGGATGACAGGCACACCACCACACCCAACCATTAGTTGAGACGTAGTTTTGCTAACTGCCCTTCAATAGTGATCTCTGCCTCCTGAGCATCTAGGCTTGAAATGTGATTGATCAAAAAGGGTATAACCCATTGCTAACAGACTGAGTAGGGAAATCCAGCAAAGCCTGTTCTGATTCATGGTCTCTGTGCAGTGTTTCTTTCTCCCTGGCATGGAACAGAACCCCCTCTGACATGGGGATTATATGTTCTATCAGGCATGATAGGTCAAAGAATTTCTTTATGACCAGCTTGTAGTTCTCTGTGGATGCTCATCTCTAATCCTGTTAGGGTCTTTCTACTTTCTTCTTTGCTGGTGGAGGGAACAATTAGGTTTCCTTCAGCTGTCAGCTCTGATTGGCCTTATTTGGGTAGAGGGTTTGCCCCTGCTTAGTCAGCCCTGGCCAAGGAAGTAGGGTCTATGCCAGGAAGGGAACCTTCATTTGTCTGAAACATTGGGACTGATGGTACTTCTGTACCAGGACAAGAGTGGCTTTCTCAGGAGTCAGAGCCCTGTTGATGCAAGGTTTGAGATCCTGAGGCCAGATTAGACAAGTAGACAGACAGCACCATCCTGAATGGGGTCCATGCAAATGGACTAGTTATATATGTGTTGTTAATGTGTGTAATTTCCTTAATTTTAAAATAGGATTGTAAACATTTTTCTGATTTTAATAGGTTTGGTTTTTTAAGATATTTTTATTTTATTTTTTTTTCAAGATAGGGTCTCTTGAACTATTTGCCTGGGATGGCTTGGAACTGAGATTCTTCTGATCTCTGTCTCCTGAGTAGCTAGGATTATAGGTGTGAGTGGTTTTTATAGGTTTAAAAGTCACTGGATTGGGAGGCTAAGGCTGGGGGATCTTGAGTTCTAGGCCAACCTGAGCTATATATTGTTTTGAGACCTGTCTCAAAAACAAACAAAATCACTGGAACTGCTAATACAATTTTGGTTTGTTATCTACAGTCATAATTGAAAAGGGTCCTAAATTAGCTGGGCGCTGGTGGCTCACACCTGTAATCCTAGCTACTCAGGAGACAGCAATCAGGAGGATCCATGTTCGAAGCCAGCTCTGGCAAATAGTTCTCAAGACCCTATCTTGAAAAAACCCATCACAAAAAGGGCTGGTGGAGTGGCTCAAGGTGTAGGCCTTGAGTTCAAACCCCAGTACTGAAAAAAAAAAAAAAAAGGTGGAGGGGGTGTCCTAAATATCAATTAGGAGTTAGTAAAAATAAGGATTGTCTTCTCATTTTCAAAATTCCTAGAACTGGGTAACCCTTAATAGAGAATTCCTTGCCTAGGAGGATGGTTAGGGTTTCTGAGTGTATTGAGGAAGGAAGAAGGTGTTCTGTATGGGGAAGGGGGACATTACAAGCAGAGACCCGAAGGAGATGTGATAGAGTAGTGAGGAGATGGGGGGGTCTAACTTGCTGAGGTGGGACCCTGAAAATTGGGATGAGGCTTGTAGGCCCAACTTGGTAAGCTTTAGGGGACTGGCAGGAGAGTTACCTGATGAGAAAGGTGGGTGACAGTTCATATAAAGGGGAATTGTTAACAAATGGTGATAAATGTTCTTTCATTTTGAAACAGGTCATTCAGATTCTAGGAGATAAGTTTCCATGCACTTTGGTGGCACAGAAAATTGACCGTATGTTTCTGTTTTGTTTTATTTTTAAAAGATGGTTCGATATTTCTGTCTCGTGACCTGACTGTGTGTGTCTGTTTCCCTGATAAGTGCCAGAGTACCAGGGAGAGCCGGATGAAATTTCCATACAGAAGTGTCAGGAGGCGGCTCGCCAGGTACTTATCCTACACTTGTTCTACATTGAATCCTCTTGTCATGGCATCTCCTGGGGTCTGTGCTTCCTGGGAATAGGCAAAGAACAGTAGAGTACAGTTTGTGTGCCTTCAAGGATCTTTGGAAGCCCAGCTAGGCTGGCTTTGGAATACTGCCTTCCTGTCCCAACCCACACCCTTCAGATTCTCAGGTACATGCATGCCAGCCCTACATTCTCCCCACACATTTACCTCTGCAGTCACAGATCCTTGTAGAATTGAGAAGGAGCAAAATATGAAGAGGCAGGATGCCTGGGTTGAATCCCAGTACTTCCACTGCTGTGTCTGGAGCAACCTTTATACCTGCCAATGTTTGGTGTCCCCATCTCTAAAATGAAGATGAAGAGGGCTAGATGCTAGGGCTCTTGGTGGACCTCTGTCTGTTGATCTTAACTAGCTGTGGGCTTGGTCGCCACCTGGGTGGCCTGGGATTCAGTGTGGGAAGGGAGGCTACTTCTGATTGCAGGTCTCAGGCCTTCATATTCTTGTACTGCAGGTACAGGGGCCTGTACTGGTGGAGGATACCTGTCTGTGCTTCAATGCCCTCGGGGGACTCCCTGGTCCCTACATGTGAGTGCTCCCACTAACCCCTTTGCAGGGCCCCAGCCACAAAAGCACCTTGAGAAATGATTGGTTACCTGATACTGCAAGTCATTTACTATCTTGGCATCAACCTCAGTATTTCAGTTGTCCCAAGGAAGGATTAGGGATACTGGAGAGGTATGCCTTTCTTTTGTAAAGTGTGAGAATGTGGTTGTGTAAGTAGAGATTGGAAAGGGGAACCCACCTATTTCAGAGGTACATTCAAAGCAGATCAATTTCACGAAAGAGGAAATAACGTTGAGACCTGAAATTTGATTTCCTTAAAACTATCTTGTGTCCTGAATCCCCTAGGTTTTTGTGTATTTCTATGATACAAATATCCCAAATTTGAAGACTCCTGAATGGGGTTAGGGACATATGTACAGACGTGCTGTTAATAGAATGGGATCCAGGTGTGGTGGTACACGCCTGTAATTCTAGCATGTGGGAGGCTGAGGCAGGATTTTAAGTTCAAAGCTAGTCTGTACTATATTGTGAAACCCTGTTTCTAACTAACTAACTAGATGACTGTTTTTTTGGCCAGAGCAACAGCACCTGCATACACTTAGACCTACAGCATATATTACTCTACATCCTCACCACCATGCTCACCACCATCTTCCCTCAGTATTATGAGCCTTTAATATTTTGTAATTTGGCAATCTGAAATGTTATCATATGCAGTTCTAATTTGCATTTTCCTAGTTACCAGTGAAGTTGAGACCTTCATTTGTTTGTTGATTATTGATTGTTCTGTGCATTGCCTGTTTGCCTCCATTCCTTTTTTCCTGTTTTCTCTCTCACATTGGGGATTGAACCCAGTGTCTCAAGCAGGCTATGCACAAAGCTCTACCATTGAGTTACACCCCCAGCCTCTAGATTACTTCTCTTAGTTTTGATTTGAGACATTCTTTTTCATGACTTCTTTGCCAGTGCTGGACCTCTAATCCCTATGGGGTGCAGCCCAGAGAGAAGGTGGTGAAAGATCCTCTGCTCATGGTGTCTGAGTCATCTTTATTTCTTTTGCAGCAAATGGTTTCTGGAGAAGTTAAAGCCTGAAGGTATTGTCTCCATTGTTTCTTCTCTTGGATCTGTTGGGAATTGAGAATCTGGAGTCCCAGGCTTCAGTCCTCACGATAGAACTTCCCTTCACCTCCATTTCCCTCACACTTTCCTTGTACTCCAGAGAGCATTGAGGTGGGGAGGAATGGATGGTTGAAATTTGCAGAGCTGTGATTTTGAGGGACAAAGGAACTATAGTTGTTGATTCTGGCTCTCATGAGGGACTTTACCCTAGCAACTGCCTGTGGGTACTTTCTTCAGCCAGGGTCTTGCCTGGCTTGCAGGGTTTGGGACTGCCCCTCCCAGGCCCCAGCAGGCCGTATGCTGCCACCCTTGTGTGTATGCCAAAATGTTCTCTTTTTAGGTGCTTTAAAAAACACTTAAAACTAGCCAGGTACTGGTGGCTCATGCCTGTAATCCTAGCTACTCTGGAGGCTGAGACTGTAAGGATCATAGTTCGAGGTCAGCCTGGGGAAATAGTTCATGAGATCCCATCTCCAAAATAACCAGAGTAAAATGTAGCTCAAGTGGTAGAGCCCCTGCTTTGCAAGCCTGAAGCCCTGAGTTTAAAAAAAAAACAACAACAATAACTAAATACCATTTAAAGCTGGTTGTGGTGGTACACACTCATAATCCGAGCACTCAGGAGGCAGCGGCAGGAGGATCAAGAGTTTGAGGCCAACCTGGTCTACACAGTGAGTTCAAGGCCAGCCTGAGCTACATAGCAAGACCCTCTGTCAAAAAACCAAGGGCTGAGGATATAGCTTAGTTGTAGAGCATTTGTCTAGCATCCACAAGGTGGTGGGTTGTAGCCTTAGCACTGCCAAAACAAAAACTATATTGGAGAGTATTTCAAACATGTACAGTAGTAGAATAGATTAATGGCTACAAATATTTATAATTGTCAACTTTATTTAATTTTGTTGGAGGTACTGGGGATTGAATTCAGGGCCTTGTGCTTGCTAGGCAAGTGCTCTACCACTCATCTGTCTTTTTTTTTTTTTAAGAATAGAGGCTTGGAGCATGGCTCAAGTGGTAGTGTGGTTTTTAACTCAAGGCCCTGTACTTGCTGGACAAGTGCTCCACCACTTGAGCTATATCCCTAGGCCCCCAAGCTAATCTTATTACATAGTTATTTTGAAAATGCCTTTTCACATTTGGTTTATTTTGCATTGGGAATCAAACAGTGTTCACATCATTGGTCCACACTGATTTTCTGTTAACAAAATCTTGTTTTAGCTTGTCCTAGAGGGAGGCAGATACCCAGGGCTTTGAATTTCAAGCCCGCCCTGGTGTCAGCTCTTTTGATGCCCTTGGAACTTCCCACCACTGTCCAATCCAATTTGAGGAATTCTTCCCTCCCCACCTTGCAAGGGCTTCTGATAAAGGTGTGAGGGTGGGGTTGGGGGTGGAGTCTGGGCAGCACAGATGTACTGAGTGAGCCCTCACTGAATCTCTCCACAGGTCTCCACCAGCTCCTGGCTGGCTTTGAGGACAAATCAGCCTATGCACTCTGCACCTTTGCTCTCAGCACTGGGGACCCAAGCAATCCTGTGCTTTTGTTCAGGGGCCGAACCTCGGTGTGTACCCACCTGGATGCAGTTCTCTGGTGTGCAGCCAGAGGGCTCTGCAGTCCACACCCAGGGTCTTCTGGGGACAGAGTTATCAGGGCCTTCCTCTGAGACATCTCTGATCACCACAATTAAAACACTGTCTATCCCAAAACCTAGTTGACCTCTGAGGCTGGTGGTTCAGCTCCTGGTCTGATACACCCAGATCTCTCCACTGTAGGCCCCTGTAAGAAGCAGATGTACAAACTGGGCACCAGTGGCTCACTTCTGTAATCCTAGCTACTCAGGAGGCAGAGATCAGGAGGATCGAGGTTTGAAGCCAGCTCTGGGAAAATAGTTTGCAAGACACTGTCTTGAATAACACCCATCACAAAAAAAGAGCTGGCAGAATGGCTCAAACAGTAAGAGCACCTGCCTAACAAGTGTAAGTCTCTGAGTTCAAGCTCCAGTGCCACAAAAAAAAAAAAAAAAAAAAGTACAAACTGAACGTAACTGCTACAAAAGCTGTATTTACATCCCATACTTCCTGCTCAAATCTTATCCATCTGTCAAGGGTACAGCCTTCTTTGACTATCTCATAGCCTTTTACTCATAGCTTGAACTCAGGGCCTTCACCTTGAGTCACTCACCAGCCCTATGTTTGTGAAGGGTTTTTCGAGATAGTGTCTCACAGAACTATTTGCCCTGGCTGGCTTGGAACCACGTTCCTCCTGATCTCTGCTTCCTGAATAGATAGGATTACAGGTGTGAGCTAGAGCCACTGGTGCCTAGCTACTTTGTTTCTTAATTGTTATGCCTGTTTGGCTTGTGACATCCATTGGAGGGGAAAGCTGGGCTGCTTGTGACTACTCCAGTGCTGAGAACACTGCAGGCCCACTGTAAGTGCTCAGAAAACTTGTGGAATGGGTGAGGCTCAGAGTAGTTAACTGACTTTGGTCACACAGCTCCCCACTAGCAGAAATGGAATTTGCCTTTGGTTTTGCATGACTTGGCATTTATGTGGTTAATCTCTAACACCCACCACTGCCCCTTTTTCCCCCTACCATGCTGGGGATTGAAATGGGCTTTCCACATGGAAGACAAGCACTCAACCACCAAGATACAACTCCAGCCCTATATTTTTAATTACTTTTTGTTTGTTTGTGGTACTAGGGATTGAACCCAAGGTCTTGCACATGCTAGAGAAGTGCGCTGCCACTGAGCTGTATCTCTAGACTTTTAAATTTTTTGTTTTGAGACAGGGTCTTGGTAAATTTCCCAGGCTGGCCTCAAATTTGTGATCCTCCCGTTATCAGCCTCCTGAGTAGCTGGGATTGCAGGTGTACCACACCCAGCTTTAGATTTTTTACTCTGATGACATGAAGTTTTACAACATTGGACTATAGTTTGTTCTTTGTGACATTTTCATTTTGGAATTTGCCTGTCATAGCCAGTATTTCTTGAGTTCATTGCCATGTTGGCCTCTGCTAAGTACTTTCTGTTAGGGTGTTTCATTCACCTACTAGAGGCTCCTTCGTTTATTGTTACATGCTAAGTAAGTGCTCTTACACATAGCCATATCCCTAGCTCCTTGTCTTGTGTTTTGAGAAATGCTGTAAGTATAGACCTTATCCTCAGAATTCAGGGCCCTTAACTTCCTATTAGAACCACATATTTTTGGTCAGTTTTTCAAACTTGACCCATTTTTCTTCAGTGAGGTCACAATTTATTAAAAGTGTAGAAAGGGAGTTTGGACCCAGAGGTTCCTCCTCCTTGCTTCACTCTGCATGTTACTTAGGTATTCAGGAAGCATTTGCAAGTACTGTAGACCCCTTGAACTACATTTTGAATAAATTGGGTTTAATCAAATTCACAAACTAACCAAACTCAAATTGGCCTCCAAATGCATCTCCAGTTACCCCTGTCCCCCTTTCCTGTGGCAGGGCCAGATTGTGGTGCCCCGAGGCTGCCGAGACTTTGGCTGGGACCCATGCTTTCAGCCTGATGGATATGAGCAAACGTAAGGAGCCCCAGTTTCTTTCCTTGGTCATGTCTTAGGTGGGCATCCTGCCCATGTGCAGACGTGCGGATGGGGATGGGGAAGGCTCTGAGGGCAGCTCTGGTGGGGTGGACACAAGGAATCTATGTGGCCCAGTCCACAGCAAGGTGGAGCAGGCATCCTGGGTTCTGCCTTCAGCTGTGTGACCAGTGACTTTCTCTCTCTGGCCTTGACCTATCAAGATGTTTTGTGAGATGACTCTCTAGTTCCCTCATCTGAATTGGAAGATACTCGGTTTTGCAGCCTCTGGTGAATGCAGTGCCACATGTTCTCAGTGTTTTATACTGATCCCTCTTATTTACATGACACATAAAGGCTGTTACTGGAATTGGGCTTTCCAGGTTGGAGGGGCCTTTAGGGAATGTTGCATGAGGCCTCATGGTAGCCATACAGGGCTGAGGACATTGTGAAGTAGCACTGTCTTAATGCTCTTGGGTGTCAGAAGTGTTGTGTATCTGCACTGTCAGATTGGGTGGCCATTGGCCACATGTGGCTAGTGGCTATGGTACTGGCCAATGAAGGTCTGAAGCCTATGGGCAGGGTGTGACTTCTCACCTCACTGATGGGCTGTTGGCCTGCTGCCAGGGCCCCCCTCCCCAGTGCATTAGAGGAGACTGCTGTGTTTGCTTTTGTCAGGCCCACTGCTTCCTGTCAACAGATGACAAAGCTGATCAAACATGCAGCTCATCCCTGTCCCCAGCTTCCCTTAACAACTTTTGGCAACTAGAGCAAGTTTACTATCCTGCCATGCTCATTAATAAGGGTTTCTGTCTACAGAGGAATTTAAAACTGTCCAATTAAATTTTACAGGCTGCTAGGAGCTGGTGGCCACTGCCCTCCTTTCCTGGGACTCCTTAATCTTTGGGCTGCAGGGATGGACTGGGTATGCCCCTCCTCCAGAGGTCTGGGCTTCCTGTTCTCTGAACTGCTACTGTACTCTTTAGGTATGCCGAGATGCCCAAGGCGGAGAAGAATGCCATCTCCCATCGCTTCCGGGCCCTGTTGGAACTACAGGAGTACTTTGGCAGTGTGACTTCTGGGCCTGGAGGAGACCACTCAGGCCGGGAGACTGGGGAGAGCTAGCCTGAAACCTCCTGGGTCAGGCAAGCATCCCTCCAAGGACATCCATCAGGAGGTTCTCCTTGGTGGGGGTGTCAGGCAGCCTCACCAGCCTGATCTGGAAGAACAGCTAGTTCTGCTTAGAGGGACTCTGGGCAAGCTGATGCCTGTCTCTTGCTTTGGGAATTCAGTGATTGCTCCTGCAGCCTCCAGGCCTGGGATTCTAAGAGGACCTGAAGTGTTAAAACCAGCCTTGGCAGGATTGTTTGGATAAGAACCTCACAGTCTTTGATGTTTGGTGGTTGTTTCTTTTTTTTAATTGCAGCAAATGAAAATTCTGGAAGGCACATGTTTCCAAAATAAACTGAGCCCTGCCCCAGGCTGATGGATGTCTGCCTTCTGAGTCCCTGTTGACAGGTGCGGGAAGCCTTCTGGGTGGAGGTGGCAGAAAGGGCAGCACTGTCACTTGCCCTTGCTAGCTGGCATGTTACATCTTCTGTGCTTGGACTCACTCTTCTCATTCTTGAAGTTATGGATCATGGGCTGCCCTCTTCCATGCCAAATTCATGCTGTCCACCCTTACCTCCCAGTTAGGTGATACCTCTGCCAGGTGACCTCTGTAGTCTTTGATGGGTTGGGGGATGGGCAGTGTGGAATGTCTGTTTTTATGGCTTTGTACATTGGAGCAGCTAAAGTGTTGGTTTATGATTATAACGTCAAGTTATTTTTCTGGTGGGGAGAAGGAGGAGTCCTTGACCCCAGTTGAGTTGACATGTCAAAATTTAGCAAGGCATGGCTGCAACCCCATTCACTGTGCTCCCATGAAGCCATTCTCTGGGAGGGACTTTCAGGGACCAGGTGGCTGCCTTATATTTCCTGCAGGCTATTCTTTTTTTTTTTTAAAAGGATGGGGGAGGGGTGCACACCGCAAAAACAGCCAGAAACCACAGGTTAGGGTGTGGTCCCCCCATGGAGGTGGATCACTCCCAAGCTAACTTTTGTGCTCTTGGGCAGCTCTGGAGAACCTACTCTCCAGACCTGGCAAGGTGGCCCTGGGCCTGATGTCCTACCCTGACCTGGAGCAGTGTACATGGGCAAGGACAATGCATCTTTCCTTCCCCCACCATCTCTGTCAGCCTCAGCTGTTTTCCCCAGGAGGTGCCAGTACCTTACCAGCACTCCTGAACAGTCTCAGGGTGGGCGGTTGTCTGCCTGGCCTCAGACATGGGGTGCTGGGGGCCTGCCTGCTTCTTGCCTGAGACTCTGGATGCGGTTCTACCTGCAGGGAATGTCCGGGCTACTGAGGAAGGGGTCCTCAAAATACAATCACATATCCCATAGAAGAGGCAGATACATGGGGCCTGGCAGGGCACCCTGGTGTTTGCTGCCCAGGTCCTTCCTTGAATTCTGGCCTGGGTGCACACTGTATTTTGTCCACCTTTTTGACTTAACCCATCTCACAAACGGCTGTGAATATACCACCCTGGAGCCAGTTACTCCTATCTCCATGCCCTGCATCCCTACCCAGGGGGCTCTTTATCATTCTAATACCGTTCAGCCTTTTTGGTGGTACTAGAGTTTGCTAGGCAGGCACTCTACCATTTGAGCCACTCTCCCAGTCCTTTTTTTGGGTCTAGTATTTTTCAATATAGGGTCTCAGGAACTATTTGCCTGGGCTGGGAATTAAACCCAAGGGCCTCAGGAATGCTAGGCAAATCCTCTGCCACTGAGCCACATCCCCAGATCTACCAAGGGGGTTGAGCATCTCTTCCCATTCATGTTACCCTTTCCCTCTTCTCCCTCCCTGTTTACAGCCTTGTCTTTTGGGGTGCTATCTTTTTCTTATTGTTTTGCAGAAATTCTTTGCATGTTTTAGGTATTAGTCCCTTTTCAGTTTCAGACGTAATAAATCTCTTCATCCACTACTTCAGTACAAAATATCTTTGTCCATGGGGCATTTCTGGAGCCAAAGACCTGCAAGATGATGTGGTGGGCAGTAAATGTTCCTGTTGCTACTCTGCTGCTCCCAGGTATACACAGGTCCATGCTGCTCTCCACCACCAGCCATAGCATCTCACTGGGCTGGGCCTAAGGTCTCTCCCCTCTGGGCCCTTCCGCATGTGTTCACCCAACACTTTCCTACAGGTGCCAGAAAACAGGGCAACACAAAGGCCTCCTGGATGGTCCACTGTGCAGGGTTCAAGATAATAGCCCACAGGTGGCACTCAAACATCAGTCGGGTTTGGTAGGAGGGACAGAGGTGGCACATGGAAGCATAGAAATAGGAGCTTTATTCTGTAATGTGTGCACAGTGAGTTCCTTACACAATCAAGGAAACGGTTTCTCTCCTGGGCATCGACTCTTTTATCAAAAGAAAATCCACCCTGCTTAGTCTCACCCTGGGCATTGTTCCTGACCCTAAGCTAAAGGCTAATGGGGAGAGGGGTGAGCACATACCACTGAGCCCTACAATGCCCAGGTGTCCTAGGCCTGTGAGACAGGACACACACCTCCATACACAGCCAGAGCTGCCCTGAGAGGAGGAGGCTGGTGGGTGAAGGGGGTGTGGCAGGGCCTGCCAGTCAGGGCCTGTGCTCAGCATCCATGGCATCCAAGTATTTGGTTTCAATGATTCGGGGCAGCAGGTTGTAGCTGGGGAAGACAGAGAGACAAGAAGATGAGCAGTAAATGGTAAGAGGAGAAAGTAGCAGGTGCCCACCCCAGCCCAACCCTGGTCTGGCCCCTCTTGCTGGCTGCCCTCCTGCCCATCCATACCGGATGGGGATCATGGCAATCATGATGAGGGGAAAGACCATCTTCATGTAGGGCAGGGAGCTCATGCCAAAGGCACAGAGCAGCAGCAACTGCAGAATCTGCAGGCCTGTGAAGTAGTGGATCTTCCTCTGGGGCACCTTCCGGATGTAGTGCGTGGGTGGGTATGACGTCTGTGGATGGCAGAGATCACATATGAGCAGAGGCCATGTTTCCCCATCCCACCATCCCTCCCTGGGCCAGGAACCCACCTGCTCCATGAGCAGCAGGGCCACACGTGCGAAGAGCTGGTTGTCATCCATGGAGGTGAGTGCAATGTAGAGGAAGAGGCCATAGAGCACAGGCTTGGGGATCCACTGCAGTGGCAAGGGCAGCAGCAGCAGGGAGAGGCCCACCAGGATGCTGGCGCCCAGCGAGGTCAGCCGTGTCTCCTTCACATTCACAATCCTGCAGGGGCCCAGTGCAAAGGGCAACATGCCCATCTTGGGCCACATGTTCCAGGGCTGCTTTACCTTTGAGCCCTGTCTTCCAAGCCTAGGGACTCCCTAGGTCATGTGTGGCCCAAGGATCCTCCCAACTCCAGGTCCACATGACTTCCCCCAGGTCTCTGGGAGCCACTCTCACACTTACGTCTCACAGATGTGCCCATTCTCCACTCTCTCCTCCACGAAAGCCAATGCACGCACGTGCAAGGGGGAATGGGGGTAGGCGGCATGGATCCAGGGTAGCCCAAACAGAGACAGCCCCGTGTTGATGATGGCGAGCAGCAGGAGGTCCCAGTGGTAGGCAGTGCCCTTCACCAGCCTGCAGTAAATAGGCACACGTGGACAGAGCCCCACTGGCCCTTGGAAGACTAGGCACTCACCCTTCCCTGCCCGGTCATCTTTACCTGTTCTCTGGTGAGTTGACCAAGGCACCCACCAGGTTCTGCTCAATAAAGAAGAGCAAGGAGAGCAGGAAGCCAAGGCCCATGGCACTGCCAATGGCCTTTAGGGACAACAAGTGGATCCGTGCCATCTCGAAGAGGTTCTCCCTGGGGTTGTAGCGGAACTTGCTCACTGTAGCAGGAGACAGGCTCCTGCTTGGCTTACAGCTCCCCAGGTAGCGAGCCCATGCTGCCCTCAACTCACCCTCAGGTCCCAAACTCACTCTCAATTTCCTGGAAGAAGTAGGAGCTGATGAAGGAAAAGCAGAGCACAGCGATGGGCAGGGCACAGTCGGACAGGGTCTCGCGCACTCGGGGGTGCAGGTAGGGACTGGAAACAGTGGGTGTATCAGAGTAACCTGGGGACTGGGTAGCCCTTCCCCTTGACCTTGGCCCCCCCTTACCTCTTCTTGAACTGATAGAGGGTATAGCCCAGCCAAAGTGTGCCCAGCATGATGAGGAGGCTGAGCACCGCAGTTTCCCGACCTGAGTGTATGGTGTCGGAGTTGTCACTCTTGGTCAACTCTGGGGGGCTGGCCAGGAGGCTGCTGTTGAGGGTGGTATGGAGGCTGGTGTTGAGGCTGGTGCCAATGCCCAACAGGTTCACCAGAGGTGAAATGCTCTTTGAGTATTGGTGCTGACCATGGTAGTACTTCCAGAAGACTGTGGAAGAGGCCAACAGTCTTCAGCTGTCTGAGCTGAGTTTAGAGCCCAGTTTCCTCCTGGATGTGGGGTGGAGGGGCCCTGGATGGGGAGGGCAAGGAAGGAGGAGGGGTCCTGAAGGGAGAGAGGGCTTCTGAGGGGGAAAGGAGTAGGGGGTGAGGCCTGACCTGTAAACCAGTACTCCAAAGACTTGCCCATCTACTCATTGTTCCTACAATCTTGCTACTATCCCAGTTCTACCCTTGACACCCCATTATACCTAGTCCAGTGCCTCTGCCCCTATCTCTGGTCCTGCTTGGGGCAGCCCTGTCACCCTCCAGTACATGGGGCTGCTGGTTCTCTGCCAGCCACAGCTCCCAAAGCACCCTGGACCATGGGAGAAGCCAACCTTAGCTTGACCTTGTGTCCTCTGCCCTGTCAGGTCACAGCCCAGAGCCTCCCATCTCCACTTAGTTCCCTCTGCAGCCATCTCTGCACTCACTTTTGACCGTGCCCTTGACAGCATCTAGCACGAACGTCATGGAGATGAACATGGCAATTACTTCTTCCATCGACCTGCCAGGAGGCACCATGCCTCATAAGATGGAAGTGTCACTGGGGAGGAGGGGAAGGCCTGTGCCTTTTCATGGACAGCCCCCTCACAAGAACAAAGAGGACCAGAGCCTCAGGCCTTGCCCAATGAGCCTCCACAGCCCCTTGGGGAACACCCCACCCACCCCAGGGTTATAGGGCCTTAGAGGCTGGCATAAGGTGGACTCAGATTCCCTGGCCTTGAAGATTCGTGCAGCTCAGGAAGGACAGGTCACCTCTTGAAGAGACTCATAATCAGGCTGAGGTTGAAGATGGCATAAAGTGTGAGGAAGAAACTATTCCACAGGCCCGTCCATGCATAGAAGGAGTTGAAGTCCAGGTTGTAGTCGTCACAGATGACACGGATCACTGCAAGCAGTGGAGCAGGGCATGCGGTCAGGGCTCAGCTGGGACCCAGAACCTTGAGCACCATCTCCCGCTTCAACACCCTACTGCACCCTGGATGTAGATGGCCAGGGGTGCGGTTGTCAGCAGTATCACCAGCGGCTGCCCGGAGAAGAGTGCATACAAGAGGCCTCCAATGCTCTGCCCAACTACGGTCTTCTGCACACCTGTGGAGGTGGAAGGTCAGGTGGGTACCACAGCCCAAGACCCTGTCTGGCACACCCGTCAGCTCCCAGCCCCTCACCAATGGCCCCATCTGTGTTTTCATCGTTGAGAGACCCGAAAGCAATCGTGGGCAGGAGGCAGGCAAAGTAGAGGAACAAGGTGGTGGTGATATATTTGCACACAGCCTTGTTTTTCCCAATAAGACCTAGGAATGGAGAACAGGGCAGACGGTTTGTTGGGGATGCAGGGCGGGCACACTTGTAGTCCTGGGGGTTGAAAGACCAAGCTCTTGGCCTAAGGGCACACACCATCAGTGAAGTCCAGTGGGTATACAGGGTACCGGCGCATGAAGTCCTCCCAGATGCCTTTCCCAAAGGGGTAAAAGTCCCTGCATTTTGGGGGCTGGGGAAGAAGAAAGTGCTTGTTAACCCTAGCTGGCCCATGACTACTCCTGCCTATGCCCGCCTCTACCCTGTACCTTTGGGTGTCTGTAAGAAGGAATGGAGGTTGTGCTGTATCCCTTCACTGATGGCCTCGCTATGGTGAGCAGATGTCTCTGATGTACCAAGGCCTCCTTGAATTCTTCCTCTGTGTGCGTCTTCAGGAGCTTCTGGCGGAAGGTGATGTCCAAGAACATGGTGGCAAATGTGCGTGCCACCTCCATCGCTGTCTTGGTGCTTTTCTGGGGTTGGACAATAGGGAAGTCACATCGGCAGCCCCTGAAGAGCAGAGACCTGCCCTTGCTGAGCTCAGACACTCCCATGGAGGTGGCAGGTACTTTCCCTGTGAACTGGCAGGGGGCTTTGTTCCCCAAAGCTCAGGCCTTAGTGCACCCTGCCACAGTTCCCACCAGATCACCAGAACCACCAATCTAGTATTCTCATAAATTTAGATATAAACTTTGTCCTGAGCAAAAAAACCTGTGTTATTGTGGATATGAAACCACAATGGAGCAAAACATGTCCCCAGCCAAGTCTCACCAGTGATATTTACACTGTCTGCTGCCTCATTTGACTTTCAAAGGGAGCCCAGGTCTATTAGATCTTCTCTCTCTTACCTGGCCAGGGACAACTGATATGGTTTGGATATAAAGTGACCCCCAAAAGACTCTTGTGCTGAAGGCTTGGGCCCCAGCTGCTGAATCCAATCACTGAGAGATGACTGGATTATGAAGGCTGGGACCTAATCAATGGATTAATCCACTGATGGAATTATAATTTGATATAGCACTACTGAGAAGTGATGGAAACTCTTGAGATGGGCCCTGCATGAAGAAGTAGACCACTGTGGGGGGGAGTGCCTTGAAAGAGTGTATCTTGTCCTAGGACCCTCTCTCTCTCTCGCTTTCCTGGTGGCCATGAGGTGAGCAGCTCAGCACCATTGAGCCCTTTTTCTTTTCCTGCAGTACTGGTGTTTGAACTCAGGGCCTACACCAGCCCTTTTTCTGTGATGGGTTTTTTTGAGATAGTTTATGAAACCCTATTTGCTTGGCTGGCTTCAAACCATGATCCTCCTGATCTCTGCTTCCTGAATAGCTATGATCACAGGCATGAGCCACTGGTGCCTGGCATAATTTCTTTTTCTTTTCTTTTTTGTGATACTGGAGTTTGAACTCAGGGCTTCACACTTAGTGGGCAGTGCTCTACCACTTGAGCCATTCCGTCAGCTCCACTGAGCCCTTTTACCCATGTTCATCTTCGCCTCAGGTTCAAAGCAATGTAGCCAGCAGACAGCCCAAACAAAGCTTTACTCCCTTAAGTAGATTTTCTCAGGTATTTGTCACAGCGATGGAAAGCTAACATATCAACCCTGGCCATGAACTGTGAACTCAGTGTCCAGCCTCCAACATAGCAAACTGCTTAACTTCCAGTCCACATCACCTGGGAGCAGTATCCACTCCTTTGTGATGACAGAGCTGTAGTCCATGGGTCCTGTGCATACCGTGCTATAAAACAGCCTGCGTGCTGAGAGGGAGCCCATGTCAGGCTGGTTGACCTGCCCCACAGCACCAACCTAGGCACTCAGCTCTTAGGCTATTGCTCCTTCCACTGTTCTGGCTACCCTGCCAGCTGTCACTCCCTCTAACCCAAGAGCTTCCCTTCCTCTCTTCCCAGCACAGTAACATAAGACAGCATGCCTAGTAGACCCCGGCAGGGACATTCCCCTCAGTACCCCGATTGTCTAGGAAAGGTAAAAGGAGGGAGACTGCACCAAAAAGCAGGGGCAGAATCATCTAATATCTAACAGAGGCTGGGCACCAGTGGCTCACACCTGAAACCCTAGCTACTCAGGAGACAGATCAGTAGGATCACAGTTCAAAGCAAGCCCAGGCAAATACTGAGACCCTATCTTAAAACATACCCAACACTCAGGACATAAGACCCCGAGTTCAAGCCCTACTACTACTACAAAGAAGTAGGGTTGAGGGGCTAACAGAGGGGCTGAGGGGCTAGGGAATGCAGCTTGGTGGTAGAGCACTTAGCTAACAAGTACAAGGCCGCAGGTTTTATCCTCAGCACCAAATAAAAAAGCCAGGTGCAGTAGTACATGCCTATAATCCCAGCACTTGCAAGCGCTGAGGCAGGAGGATCTTGAATTTGAAGACAGCCTACCCAGTGAGACCTGTCTCAAAGAATAAAAAAAAATAAGTAAAAACCAGAGTGCCCCTGACTAAGTGGTACATGGTGATGAACACCTGTAATTTCAGCTACTCCTGAGGCAGAGTTAAATTGAGGCTCAAAGGTGCCCTGGGCAAAAGTATGAGACCCTAACTGAAAAATAAAACAAAACCTGGGGGCGTGGCTCAAGTGGCAGAGCACTTGCATAGGAAACATGAGGCCCGAGTTCAAACCCTAGTACCAAAAAAAAAAGCATTTCTTTTCAGTCAAGAATGAAAAACAATCTTTTGGGCAACTTCTAGAAATTTGGATGTATATTTTCAATAAATTACGAGGCAGAGAGGAAAGGCAGGTGTGAAAAGGCCTTCAGACACGTTCCAAGAAGAGAGCAGGAGAACCTCCTTCAGGAAGCAGAGCTGCCCCCAAGACCTGCACTCACCATCTTGGGTGGGGCCAGCACCAAGATCACAAAGCGAACCTCACAGGAGTTTTCACCCCAGTTCTGTGGGCGAACCAGGCGGCTGATGCACACATGCCGCCTCTGCAGTTCTTTGATGGTACAGCTGATAGGGACAGGAAAGCACAAAGAACACAGTTGCCACCCTCAGGAGCTGAGGCTCCCACTATCCAGAACAGCTGCTAACTTTGGACCCTTGGTGACTTCTGTTAGGGAGGTTAAAAGACTAAATAGGATAGAGTACTTGACCTTCTTTTCCTGAACTAGAGGTGCCACCAGAGCTGTGTCACTTACAGATGGGCCAGCCTCTGCAGTGACCTGAGATGCCTAGCTCCAGAGTGACAAGTTGGGGAAGGGGACAAGGATGATAGCTGTAGCCTGGCAACTCACATGATGCAAAGCCACGACTGCTGGTAGTGCACTCCTCTGACTGTGGCAGTGACCCCTTGGATGGTGTCTGACAGAAGGTGGACTGAGGACAGGGTGAAGGGAGAAGGAAGGAGGGTCAGCCAGCTTACCAACAATCCCCACCCCGTCCAGAGCAGGAAGATGGGCCTTACCTTTACCCTCCATGAGGGCCCCAGCGTCTGTAAAGATCTTGGGCATGAGCTGGTTCAAGCTGCATGCAGGTTCTGCATGGTTGGGGTCCTTGGTGAAGCGCTTGAGCATGGTTCGCAGCACCTCATCCAGAGAGGTAGCTGTTTCATTCAGAATGATGGTGGCCTGTGCCAGGAAGCCATCCAGGTCCCGGTGTGCACGGATCTCTTCCTTAAAGTTCTTTAGCTTCAGGCACTGTGGGGAACCCAGGGACAGAACCACACAGGCCCATGAATGAGACCACTATCTCTTCCTGGGCCCCTCTTCCATGATGGTCTCTGGCTGCATCTGCCCACCAGGACGAACACCCTCTTTCTAAGAGGGAGCCATGGCCTACTTTGAAATCCCCATTTAGAAACTTCTGGAGGCATGAGGACAGAGAACAGTGTGAGGGATTGAAAAGAAGTAGCTCCCTCTACTCCCAGCTGGACCCCAGGACCACCCTGGAGGATGGGGCCCTTACCTTGCGGGACGTATGCAGGAGCACGCAGCCCTGGTTAATGCTGTCTGGAGAAAAGGGAGGAGCGCTTAGGGGTGCTGCCTCAACTCTAGGTCTTTCTTGGTAGAGCAGGGCCATATCTGCCCAAGCTCCTGCTCTCCCCCAGCCCATCCCTCCTGCAGCCCCCATACCAGATTTGGTGGACTTCATCTCAAGGTTCACATTGACAAAAAAACGGATGCTCTCGCCAGACACAATGGAGGAGTTGACCGTGTCCAAGGTCTCATCCCCCAGATTCTCCTCTGGGACTTCAGCAACATCATCCTTGTCATTATTGAAGTAGTTCTGAGATGTAGCTGCCACTTAAGAGAGACCCAAGAAGGTCTAGCCATCAGTGCAAGGCACCAGAAGGAGAAGCTCCAAGCCCAAGAAGCGGGCAGCCCTGGAATGTCTTGCTGAGCACACTCAAAGAATAGTGAAAGGCCTCCCCCAGACCAGAAAGGGAGCCTTGGCCCAGGAAGGCAGAATTTCTGGACCTGCTGGGTCCCATTCAGAGTGTGGCAGCCAACATAAGGAGCTGCAGCCTACTGCCCTGTAGTATTTGTCAGTGTTTTCAGCTGTGAGAACTGTTCTGTGCGCTGTTCTGACCCTTCAACTTGAAAATAGATCCAGCCTACAGACTTTGGGCCAATCACAGGGTGCAATAATGCAGCATGTTTGCTTAGCCTCTAGCCTTCAGACCCCTCAGGTTAGGGAACCCAAGGGAAGGGGAAGCTACTGCAATGTCCAGATGAACCACTGTCCATGGCTGCCTTGGTGGCCCAGGGCTTACAGGCTCTCCTCTCAGGGAAGACAGGTGAGATTTTATCAAAACTGAGACCCAGTCCAGACAACACACAAAACCCAGGAGGCAGGAGAGCTGGAGAAATAGAGCAAAGCAGATGGGACTCTGGGGAGGTTTCATCTCAGCTCTGTTCCCTCCCCATCATCCTCCCCCATGGTACAGGACCTCCAGAGCAGAGAGCCTGCTGCCTTCAGTTCCTGCAGCTGACCCCTCCTCCCCAAGGCCTTCCCCTTTAGGAAGACTACCTGGTAATCTGCAAATGTTCCTCTCTTCTTCAGAGCCCTGCCTTGACCCCTGCAGCCTACAGGTACCACAGCCTCATTCAGCCTTGCTACCCCTGGCCTGAATCTTGGCTCCTCAGGCCAGTTGGCCATGCCCCAGGCATGCCTGCTCCTGTCCTGTCCTCCAAGCCAGCCTAAGGCATCTTCTCCCTCCAAAGCCTTCTTCAGGGTTCAGTTGGAGCCCTCATCTGGGAAGTCCTCCTAGGGTCCTGTCTTCTTTTCTGGTCCAGCATACCACTTTCAGACCATCCTATAGTTCCCCACTTGTTGGGTATTCCTAGCAAAGGGGCCCTCTTAGTACAGACCCACTTATGCCTGACAAACACCTGCCCAGGGACAGGGACCTGACAGGCAGTGACTCAACCTGACTCACTTCCACTCCCACCCGCCAGTTTCCTATATACTTCCCAGGCCTTGTTTCCCCAATGTCCTGAGCTAAGGCCCTAATGCTACCAGTCCCAGGCCTGCACTGCATCCAGAGCCCAGAGAAAAACTATCAGGTGAAAGATGTCTTCCTTACCTTTGTTGGGGAGCTCATGGAAAACTCCTTCTTCCTTATTGCAGGCCTGTCTTATTTAAAACCACCTGGTTCCCCGACACTAAACTGTTCCAGTCTCCCCTCTGCCACCCCTCCCAGAACTAGTCTCCATGCTGCCCTTCACATACCCCATCTTTTCCCCCTATCCACAGCAGGGGCAGGAAGTCAGCTCTCAGACCCCCTAGTTAAGGACCTGACCAGTTGGTGCCACCAGGTCCCTGCAGGGCTCCTATGATGCCATCCTACAGCACTGCCATAAAGCTAACCTGCTTACTGGCAGCCTGGTGCATGGCCCCATCCCCTGGGGACCCTGGGTAAAAGCATACACTACTAAACACTGTTCCACTAAACTATATGGAGCCAAGCACAGGACAAGCAGCACAAAGTCAGCCCAGAGACACAGAAAGAAGGACAGCTGGACTGGCTCGTGAGGAAAACTAATGCCCAGGTTAGATTTCCGTGAAGGGACAGCTGCAAGACTGGGTAGGGCCGCACACGATACACGGCCTAAGGCCAGCCAGATACTTACCTCAGAGCGGTGAACTGGAGGAGAGAACTGTGGTGCCCAAAGCCTAGGAGAAGCAGCCTGAGTTCCCAGGATCTCAGCACCCCCAGGCACCTGCCAGTGGCCAGCCTCATCAGCTGCCCCTCCCCACAGCCTCCTAGAGCTGCGACCCAAAGTATTCTAGCACCAGCACTGGGCCACAAACAGGTAGCCAAAGCCATGGGTACACAGATGTGTGGACTAGGTCCTCTAAAGACTTTTAAATCAAGCAGCTCTCTACATACTCACCAAAGTTGTCATTGGAATCATCAAGGTATCCATTCTGGGACATGGTAGGAGAGTTTTCTACAAGGGAAGTCAACAAACTGTGACTAGCCCCAGTCAGTCTCCTGAGCCCCCTTTGCAACCTACCCTACTCTGAATCCTACTGATTCCTTCTTCTTCATTTTTCTTTTTTTTTTTTTTTTTTGTGGGACTGGGGTTTGAACTCAGGGCTTTATGTTTGCAAATCAGGTGCTTTACCCCTCCAGTCCATTTTGTTCTGGTTATTTTGAAAATGGGGTCTGGAGAACTATTTGTCTGGGCTGGCTTCAAACTGCGATTCTCCTGATCTCAGCCTCCAAGTAGCTAGGATTACATGTGTGAGCCACTAGTACCCAGCTACTGATTGCTTCTAATCCTTCCCAGAGACCCACTCCAGACCACCCTGGGGAGCAAGCAACAGCTGTACTAGGGAGTCAGTCCCTTCAAGAGCCAGGGGAAGCCAGTCTTAGAGATCAAATTCTTTAATTCATCTACAAGAGGATGCCCAGGTGTGTCAGGTACAAGGAGAGCATACTTATTCAGGGTGTTTCCCCACCAAATTGATAACAATACCAGGTTCATCAATCCAGGTTTCCTCGACTGAATCCATCTCTGGATGCTTGGGCTGCACGGAGGTGATCGGAACTGGCCTCTGCCTCTGCCTCTCCCTTTCCCTTTCCCTCTCCCTCCTGCTCTGCCAAGCCGAGAGCCTGGGGCGGTGCCCTTCCCTCGATACATTTCGCCTCTCCCTCCCAGACCCGGCTCGGTCCCAGTCCCGGTCACCATAAACGCCCATCGCATGCGCAGTTCTCCTCCCCACTACCCTCACGCGCCCCGGGTCGCCCTCGGGCGACCTGGCAACGGTCTCCACCCCTGGACGTCACCACTGTCCTGGGCCGCCTGGGAGACGGAGCCGCCGGTCCAGAAACGAGAAGGCGCGGTGTGTGCGGGGGGCACTTAGGGGTTGGAGGTGCTGTGCACGCTCCCCGCGCCGGGCCCGGCTGTTTGTGTCGCACTGTTCGAGGAAGAAAGCACAGTAGGGGCCACGAGAGGAAAGCTCAGCCCTGGCAGACCCTGGGGGTTGGAGGCAGGATGCGGATGTACGCGAGGGGCGGGAGCCCGGCAGCATCAACAGGGAGGGCGTGGACGGTAAAGACGTCCCGAAGCTGCGGGGATAAGTAGCTGATACAGGTGTGGAAGGGCGGGGGTTGGGAACGCCCTCCAACCATCCCACGTGCAGATAAATGGCCGGACAAGCCCGGCTCTTGCCCGGGTCCCGAGGCGGCCCCTCAGATGTCAAGATAAGGCACAGGCTTCTGCGGTCGCGCGGGGCGCAGCCCGAGGCCCCGGGGAGGACCAAAGATGAGACTCCTGAGGCGGCAGCGTGCCTGGCTCGGAAGGCCTCTGCTCTCGAGGGTGCGGGGGACCCCACAGCTCCACCCTACCCACTGCTGAGCCCGGTTACAGCGTTCTTCCAAACACTGGAGAATTTCAAGACTGCGAGGGTTGCCCATTCAACCAAGCGCGCTGCACCCACGAAGCCGTCCCGGGCCTCCCCAGGCCAGCGCGCACCCTCCCAGACCCCGGCCCGGGCTGCGAAGCCCCCAGAGCCTTCCCGCCCACCGCCCCCCACCCCCGCCAGCGCAGGCCAGCAGCATCGGCCTTCCCCCGGGTGCCCCGACGGCTCCGCGTCCCCGCCTACCACGCCTTGGCAGCGGAGCCTTTGGGCGACTTTCGCGCCGAGCCCCCGCATTGCGGGCAGATTGAAGCACCCACCACACGGCTGGAGATGGAACACACGTCTGGTGGCCATGGCGGTGGCGATGGCGCTGGGATGCCAGATGGCTGCACGCACACAACCGGGGCTTCTTCAGGTGCTCAGGTGCTTCGGGACCCTAAACTTCGCGTCGCTGGCAGGCCAGCGGCGGGAGCTGGTGACACACCCCCGTGCCGCACCTGGGTCCTAATGCCGCTCAGAAGTCCCGCCCGGCCCGGGGAGGCTATGCCACGAAGGGCGGGATCCCGTCCGCCCGCCCCACGCCCTCACCCGCTTAGAGGGCTGCTCCCGGGAGCTCACGGTGACTTGGCCAGACTGCGTAGACCCGGCTCCTTCAGCTCCGCGCGCGCCTGCCCTTAATGGCTCCACAGGCCCACGGAGCCGTGTAACTGCGCGGCTTGGGGAGGGCTTCTCGGGATCCGCTTTAAAGGCACCACCGGCCCCCGCCCCCCTGCTGGGGGCCTCTGCAGGTCTCCGCCCTCCCGCTGCCCCGCCTCTCCCATTCACGCGCTGGCGCCGGCGGTAAACTCGTCTACTCCTTCACTTTCTCCTCCACCTCCGGGAAGCGCGCCCTGACTAACTGGACAGACAGGCGCGCCTTCCCCGAGTCCCGCCCTGGCCCGTGGAGCGGGCCGCGCTCGGAGGCGTCGGGTTTGCTCGCCGCGCGCCTACCAAAATAGCCCTGTTGCGCGGTCTCCCTTCCTGGACAGGCTCGGGCCGGGACCGTCGCGAGCAGTGTGCGCGCGCATATGTGCGCGCGTGTGCAGGGAGGCGAAGATGCGCGCGCTACACTGGGGTCTGGCAAGATCAGCCTGTGCTGTAAATCCCGGGCTTGACTCTCGGTGACTTCTAGTAAATGATTCCATAGCTCTCGGGCCTCAGTGTCCCAGGTATATCTCCCCTACAGCAAAGTGCTAATCCCGTTAACCCCTCCACACTGGCCTCAAAGCAGGACTGGCTATGATTCCCGCTGCCCCCTCCTCCCCCGTACCTCTCGCTGGGACGGAGTCCTTGCTTGCTGTCCCCCAGCCACAGAAGAGGGCTGCTCTCCGGGCAAAGGGCACAAATATCTGCATGGGGACTGCACCACGGCCTCTGGCGCACTGGGAGAGACTTAGCGTGGTGAGCGAGGTAATGGAGTGCCCCTCTTGTGGACAGATGGCCTGAAGGTCAAGGCCAGCCCTGAACACCGCCCCTACCCCCACTATCCAGGAAGTCTTGTGGAAGATACCCACTGGATGACTTGCTCCAAACGGACCTGGACGACAGATTTAGGGATGGCTACATGCTTCTTTCGTTGGGGTGAGCAGGCCCTGGGAGGACAAAGGTTTATCCTGTGCACCCTTCCACCCTGCCCTGGGACCTTCTCCAGACTTCTAGCCAGAGCTCCAGCAGGGCACATTGGGATGGAGGTTAACGGGAGTTGAAGAGCTGAGGGAGCTCAGACGCTCTCACTGCCTAGGGAGCAAGACCAGGAGCAGGCACAGGGGCAGGACCCCTTTTTTCACCCTCAGCCTCTTCCATCTAAGGCCTTGGCCGCTACATCTGCCTCCCAGTAGCTCCCAAATATCCAATTCTTTCAACCTTGCTGTTCCAGGAAACTGCCAGAATTGGAGAGGTATCTCCCCAACCCCCTTACCACAGCCTCCTTTCCCTCATCAACCCTTAGGCCACAGAGGGAGTAGGAGCCCAGAGCAAGCCTCCCCCAGGTGCCTGGGGCCCTCTTTCTACACTTCTCCCTGATAAGCTAGCACCAACCCTTCTGGCTTCAGCCTCCTGTATCTAGTAGATCAGAGGCTGAGGGCACATACAGGTGTCTGAGGGTTCCCCACCTGTGCCCCACTGAGTGCATATATGTGCCAGCAGACTGAGGGACCCAGACACAGTAGGCACACCCATCCCCTCTCGTTCCCTCCATTTTGGACCGCTAACTTCACTGGGCTGTGGACACCAACTGTGTCCACTGGATTCCACAAGGCACCCAATGCCTACCAAAGGGCCTCCAGCTGAGTGTGTCCCTTCACCACTTAGTTTGCCTGCAGTTAGAATCTGGGGGAATCTGGGGTGAGAAGCCACTATGTAGTATCTCATTAGCCCTCCCTCCCCCAACACTCTCTGCAACTCCCTTCCCCTCCAAGTCCCCCCCATTCCTCAGCCATTTTTTTTTGGTGGTACTGAGATTTGAACTCAGGGTCTCACACTTGCTAGGGAGGTGCTCTACCACTTAAGCCATTCTGGCAACTTTTTTTTTTTTCATTTTTCTTTTATTATTCATATGTGCATACAAGGCTTGGTTCATTTCTCCCCCCTGCCCCCACCCCTTCCCTTACCACCCACTCCGCCCCCTTCTTCTCCCCCCCCCCCCCCGCCAAAACCCAGCAGAAACTATTTTGCCCTTATTTCTAATTTTGTTCTAATTTTGTTGTAGAGAGAGTATAAGCAATATGGCAACCCTTTTTTGTGATGGGTATTTTCAAGTTAGGGTCTGGAGAACTGTTTGCCTGGGCTTCAAACTGCCATTCTCCTGACCTCTGCCTCCTTCCTGAGTAGCTAGAATTACAGACATGAGCACACCTGGATCTCATTTTTAAAATTTTTTGGTAGTACTGGGATTTGAACTCAGCCTCAGCTTGCTAGGCAGACATATACCAACTCCACCAGCCCCACAATTTTGATTTTTTTGAGACAGGGTCTCACTATGTAGCCAGCCTGGCCTCGAACTCTGGTCTTGAACTCAAGCTCCTCCCACCTCAGCCTCCCAAGTACTGGAATTACAGGCATGTAATTCCACCACGCCCAGTTTTTATGGTGTTTTGTTTTGATTTCTTGTAGTGCTGGGGATTAAACCCAGTGCCTTGCACATGCTAGGCAAGTGCTATACCACTGAGCTACATCCTCAACCCTTCCGACTACACTTTAGGGAAAACTTCCCTAAACAAGTAGCCCCTCTCACTACTTCTCTTTAACCCACTACTCCATGGAAACTGCTCTCCTAGGTCACCCTGCCTCAGCTTTCTGCCCTCTGCCTTCTACCTCCCTTCCAAGAGCCTGCCTGATGTTTCCCTCACCTGTGGCTGGTGGCTGGCTGTCAAATTCCCTAACTCCTGTCACTGAGCTGACTTCCACTTGTCACAGCCTAGTTTACCCCATGCCCCATCCAGCCCCAGATGGCTAATACACAAATCCAATGCAATGCATGCAAAATAGGGCTCCGAGTCACCATCTACTCAGCGGTTCCAGATGTGGGAATCGCTGTGACTCATCCACATTCAAAGTAGAGCTCAAATCTGCCCACTTGCACCTCCAGCTTGCTCTATCGTCTGGCCTTCTGACTAGCACCCCTTGCACCCTCTGTCCCCTGTAAGCCACTCTTTGTTGCCAATGGCTTCCCACCCACTTAGCAAAGAGAATTCTAAACTCCCTGTAGCCTCTGGAGGTAGGGCTGCACCATCACATCCAATTTCATCTGTTAGACTATCTTCTCCCCGCATGCCTTTTCCTTCCCTTTTACTTTTGATCCATGGCAGTCTAGCATGCGCTGGACATACTGGCAAAACTGAGGGGGATGGAAAAGAGAACACAGCCTCCACTGGTCTCCATTGTCTTTCAGGGCACCTCCAGGTCCCACAGGTGAGCGGGACAATGACACTTTGGTGTCCAAGAAACACAGCATTCAGCCTTCTCTCAGTTGCCACCCTGCTTCCTAAGAGTAGATCCAGGCCCCTGTTATTGAGCCAGACCTGTTTTATCCATTGCACAGTATGCCAGCCTCTGAAATGAGTTTGCAATGTGTGTGTGTGTGTGTATACACATACAAATATAGACACATGTATCTTTACATACATGTACATATACATATGTACTATATATACATGTATGTATTTACTTATGTAGGACACCAGTAGCTCATGCCTGTAATTCTAGCTTCTTGGGAAGCTGAGATGAGGAGGATCACAATTTGAGACTAGCCTGGACAAATAATTCCCAAGACCCCATGTCCAAAATAACCAGAGTACAAGGGACTGGAGGCATGGCTCAAGTGGTAGAGCATCTGCTTTGCAAGCACAAAGCCCTGAGTTCAAACTCCAGTCTCCAACAAAACAAAAAAATTTATTCACAAGGTGACCAAGCATGTGGAGATGGTAGAGCAAGTCTCAAGACCACCTCTCAGGGGACAGGGTGTAGTGGTATTTATGGGATAAACAAGCAGGATGGTCTAAAGCATGGAGGAAATGGAAGCGAAGAGGAGTGACATAATAAGTGGTCTGTACAGGTGCAAGGTTCTTAGCTCTTCATAGGATCAATGTTCAAAAAAAGGTGGGATTAGCATGATCTGTGCTTGGACTTTTGACCCTCTGACATCAGAAGGTCACCCATGGCACTGAGGGCATGGCTCAAGTGGTAGAGCACCTGCCTAGCAAGTGTAAACCCTTCTCTGCCCCCCAGTACCATTAAATAAATAAATAAATAAATAAGTCACCCATCAGACACTTGGTCAGGCTCAAATGAAGGGGGTCTGGTTTCAACCAGATTGAGCTGGGTAAGGCTACCTCTAATTTCTGAAAAGCAACTTAAGTTACCACAGTGACCATATTTCAAAGGTGCTATCTACAGCAAAGCTGTGGGGTCTAATACTTTATTGTTTAGCTAAGTGGTTTCCAAAATCAGTGATGAAAGCAAGTAGTTCAAAGGAAGTGGAACTGGAGAGTTTATTTAATTTCTCCCTCTGTTCCACCTGTACAAGGCAGCTAGGAGGGCCAGGAGCCCTTGTCCTGCAGAGAGCCAACAGGAACCTGCACCCCTAGGAAGATGTCCCTTTGTTCCCTCTCCCCCAGGCTGTACTCTGTAGAATCTAGCACTGGGCAAGGTCTAAGGGCTCTCAGCTTACTGATTCTATTTGGCTAGCAGACAGTTGAGCAGGAAGATTCCAGGGCCGCCACTCTGCCCTCATGTCAGACTCTTCTGCCTTCTGATCTGGGTTCCAGATTCACAGCTCAGCGCCTCAGCCAAGAAACAACTGGTGGACAGACATAACCAAACTTTGAACTAATTGTACTCAGCAGGTCTTGGGCCAGATGTCACAGGGCTGGACCCAAACTTCCCCACTTTTCATCTATTTCCCCCTCCTCAATCCACTGAAAACCATCACCT